AATCCCCGCTGCCCTACTTCCCATCCAGCTCCCTGCCAATGTGCCCGGGAAAGCAGCGGAGGACGGCCCCAAGCCTCGGGTCCCTGCACCTGCGTGGGAGACCCAGAAATGTTCCTTGCTTCGGACAGCCACTGGGAGAGCGATCCAGCAGATGGGCCATCTTTCTCTGGCTTCTCCTGTCTCTGCTCCCCTCTTCCTCTGACTCTCCCATTCAAACAAATAAATAAACTTTAATTTAAGAAAAGTTATCTTGTAAAATTTGTTTGGAAGGCAAAGGGACACAGAACAATCTTCCATTTGTCCATTCTTCAAAGGCTTACAAAGCCAGTTCAGAGGGGAGCCAGGAACCTAATCCAGGTGGCTCCTGTATGTGGCTTGGATCCACCTGCTCTAGCCAGCACCCGCTGCCCCTCTGGGCACTGACAGGCGGCTTTCACAGGGGCGGAGCTGAAATTCCAACCCAGGTGCTGTGGTATGGGGTTATGGGCATTTCAAGTGGTGGCACAGCCACTAGGCTAAGCACCTCCCCCAGGAGGAAGAATTTCTTTTAGCTTTTTCAAAAACATATGTATTTAAAAGGCAAAGTAATTTGAGAGAGAGAGAGAGATCTTACATAGCTTATTTACTCCCCCAAATGGTTACAATAACCTGGTCCAGGTTAGAATGAAGCCACGAGCGTGTAACTCCAGCTGCGTCTCCCACAAGAGTGTGTAGTTAGCATGAAGCCAGATTGCAAGTTGAGCAGTCAGGACTCAAAACCAGTGATCTGCTAAGACAAGCTGGCATTGCAGGCGATGGCTTACCCCACTGCACCCACAACGCCAGCCCCAAATGGAGGGATTTCTACAGTTCAACAGCAGTAAGCTGTTACTGCCACAAACCCAAAACACCAGACACAGTAAATGAGCCACAGGAGAGGTCTTTATTTTCTGCTGGCGAAGTAGCTGTGGGGCAGGGAGAAAGTGAGCAGAGAGAACAAAGGGGTGAGGCATCTTTATAGCCTCCGGGTGGGTATGGAGAGTGTGGGCTCAGGGAGGTGCCTATTGGCGGATGCACAGGTAATGCCTCAGGAGATTGGTGGAGAACACAGAGCTGAAGGTCATTAAGTTTACTTGGGCAACTGTGGCTTAACGGGGCCAGGACGTAGGGGATTTACGGCCAGCAAGTATTCAAGGCATTCAAGATGGCGCTGAATCCAGGATGGCAGGACGTTGGGTCCGTTTTCCGGGCCTCTGTTGCATTCGCTCCTTGCAACCATTTTCTCATCAGGAGACGGGGCAAAAATCAAGGAACCACCTGCAGACAAATGGTGGCGCCATGAAAGTGGCTCCCGCATTGTGCTACCCCCGGGTACGTGGCATGTGGGCATCAAGCACTGACAACATGACTGCAGGAAGTACTTCGCTCTCTGTTCTCGGATCTCACACTTCAACCCCCAAGAGCTTCTCAATAAAAACCAGGGCACCATTACCGGAATACTGGCCCTGGGGACTGAGGCACAGGGCAGGCACCTTGCAAATACCAGGGATGCTAATAACAGAGCAGCCATGCCCTCAGGCAAGAACAATCCCCAGAGGACCCTTGAATGTTAACCTGCCAGGCAGGCTCTCAGGTCACAAACAAGTTTCACACAGATTAGGGCTGCTGGTTTTCTACCTGCTACTAACAACATCGCCCTCTGCCTGTCCAGTGTCCGGTAGCTATGTGCCCTAGCCACTGAGAATTTACAGATCTGCACATAGTGATGCTAAAAAAAAACGGTTTGCACGGGAGACAAGCATGATGGCTTAGTGGCTAAATCCTCACCTTACAAGTGCCAGGATCCCACGTGGGCACTGTTTCATGTCCTGCCTGCTCCACTTCACATCCGACTCCCTGCTTATTGCCTGGGAAATCAGTAGAGGACAGCCCAAAGCCTTGGGACCCTGCACCTGTGTGGGAGACCAGGAAGAGGTTCTGGGCTCCTGGCTTCAGATTGGCTCAGTTGGGGATTGAACCATATTGAGTTGAAGGCAGTCAGGAAAAGCCACTGTTTCTGCTAGGACAGGAGGTGAGCTGAGTAGGGTTGGCTCATGGACCCCCTGGTATGCGCAAAATCTGGCACTGGGAGAGGTTCTGATGGAGGAGCCTGGGCAACTCCTCTGGTAGGGCACAGACCCTGCAGGTAAGCACAAGAAGCATGATAGGAAACAGCCCAGAACGGGTCATGGAAAGTGTGCCACTGGCATACATTTGGCATGGGTCTGGGGCAGACCAGGCTGAACCAGTTCACATCGCCCACTGGCGAGTCCTAGCACCAGAACTGAGAGTGGGTAGAGCCAGGTTCAATCGCGACAAAAACCAGTGCACATTACAGAATGCCAAGGTGAAGTGACCTCTACTGGATGTGACTGCAGCCCCCAAGCAGCACTGAATGCGAGCTGAATGGGATGTGGGACTGCCTGGACTGGTCTGATGCACATACTGGCAAACAAGGGTAGGGGGTGGGCCTGGTGGGGGTTTTGTGGGTCGCTCCGACTAAGCTGCAGCTCCCACTGGTTTATGTGAGGGCTGAGTGTGTGCTGGGCAGAATCAGGCTGGACTGCAACACCCATTGCTTCCAGCGGAAGACATGGATGGAAACAGAACCGACCCAGCAATTGCAACCACCAGCTGATCGGGACGATGGACTGTGCCGGGCCCTGTGCTTGCTAGCACATACAAGAATCTGGACCAGGAACGCCTCAGACAAAGTTTCTTTGGGGATCTCCCCAATTTAACTGCTGGACTCAGAACCCTAACCATGAAGACAGAGGACAGAACAAGTTAGTCAATTACCTCAGCTATATGTTGGCAGTGAAAAACTAGGCAAATGGAGACTCTGTGATGGACTATGTCAATCAGTGGATTCTTCAAAGACCTCATCGTGCTTGGAATGGTGAGACTGGCAGCAATTCAGAACTGTTGAACTATCAACACCACGTGAGCAAGACCCTTGGAATATGCCCCGCATCAGGGACCTGGGGTGGGTGGAAGACTGGGTGGGGCTTCTCCCTATATCTCTCCCTTTACCTCAGATACAGGAAAAAAACAATGTGGAAATAATAGTCTTACCCACTTTCCTGTAGCCCTTGAACCTTTTTGCCCTAATTAACTATGTAAGGAATGTCAAAAATAAGGGAAAAAGTATGAAAAGAAGAAAGAAAGAGAATGAGTGCCAGGGACTTGGTGTCCTAGAGGCTCTCAAGGACTTTCCAGTTTATTCTCTGCTAAAAGTGAGAACATTTTCAGAAACACATCAAAGTGTGAACAGGGGAATTTTACCAAAGCACGGTAGAGGGCACACACACAAGCACAGGTGACCTGACATTCTAACACCCTTAGGCACACTGCCACAGAGTTTCACAAAAACAGTTGTCACAGCACTGGCTTTCAATGCATTTACAATGGTAGGAAAATGAAGTTTGACACAGTTCAATTTCCTTAAACACTTTTGCAATATTAACCTAGCTATTTGCAGCCTATCAAAAATGCTACTTTATTTACTTATCAAAGTACTGGCAGGGCTGGTATTGCATCATGGATTAAACCACTGCCTACTGCACTGGTATCTCATACGGGCAAAGGTTCAAGTCCCGGCAGATCTACTTCCACTCCAGCTTCTTGCTAATACGCCTGGCAAAGCAGTGGAGGTTGCACTCATATGGGAGACTCAGAAGCACCATGTCAGAAAAGAACCAGTGGACAGAAAATCTCTTCCCTCTGTTACTCTTTCGAATTAACAAACAAAAACAAAAGGACTGGTGGTCTTAAAGTGAGATGGTTACATGGGTTCCCAGAATATACAACAGAATGTAAAATTCACTTGGGGGGTACCCATACGGGCCTCAAACTTCCTCGATGCTATCTCCTAAGTCATAGCTCAATGGCACAATGACTCAACTCGCCTATCTTCTACCTGAAAGCGCTGGCATCCCATATGGGCACTGGTTCAAGTCCTGGCTGCTCCACTTCTGATCCAGCTCCCTGCTTACGTCCTGGGAAACTGGCAGAGGATGACCCTAAGTTTTAGGACCTGGCACCCTCGAGGGAGACCCAGAAGAGGCTCCTGGCTTCAGACTGGCTCAGGTTTGGCTGTTGCGGTCCTCTGGGGAGTGAAACAGTGGATAGAAAGTCTTTGCTTCTATAAATCTGCCTTTCAATTAAAAATACATAAACTAAAAAAAAAAAAAAAATAGTGCCACCAGTCTGTGTATCCCAGGATTCTAACGATCCACACTGACAAAGGAAACCCAGGCAGTCCACTCAGCGCACAGCACTTGTGGGCCTCTGCTCCTCCGAGAGGATCTGTCGGAAAGCTCCTGGGTGAGTGTCCGGTCAGCAACCATAGGACGGAGGCAGAAACGTGTGTGTAATGCCGTGTGAATGTGGCCAGGGCAGCAGACACACAGGTGCACCTGTGTGACAGGGAGGCTGAGCTGAACCACGGGACACGGAGCCTCCACCTGCTGGCCCAGAGGCACAGGTAAGGAGCCCGCGGATGCACGCACGCACACACACATGCGTGGACCTGCAACTGGGAGCAGCAGGCCGAGCTGGCTCGTGTAGCGGCACTTTCTTGAAAGCTCATTCATTGATTCATCACACAGCTAGCATCATGCTCACAGGGGCAGGCTCTGTTGTAAGCACTTTAGACTTCTGACTCATATACTCTTCCTAACCATCCTGTGAGGCGGGTGCTGTCACGTGCCAGCCTCCTATTACCCACGGCAACCACACACAGAGACCGAGCTGCCTCAGATGGCACTGTGCATGCGTGGGTCTGTGGTTTGAACCCCTCCGAAGGTAAGGGGGCAAGTGACTTCTTTCAAGAGGGGTCATGTAACAGCCCCGGGGGAGACTGTATCGCGATGTCTCTGAGGATGAGAAATCTCGCCCAGGACAATGCGAGGAAGCTGAGGCGAAGCCAGAACGGATGGCTCAGGTGCTGGTCACCCAGCCAGTGGGGACACAGGGACAGGGTCTCAGAAATGATACACTGACAGGCGGCAGAGTGACATGAACCCCGCCCCTCCCAGGGATGGATGCAGGCACACTTCCATTCTCATAGAGGCCCCGGGGTGAGTCCATCTTTTGAAATGTTTGAGTCCCGCTGTTGAACGCTACATCCTAGGATAACCAACCGGAAGCTAATTCAGGCAGCACTTGCTCCCCTAACACAGAGACGAGCATCGAACAGGCAGGAAATAAATAGTGACTTCGCTCCTTCGAAAAGCCGACTTGAACACAGCCTAGGAATAACCTTGCACGTCCCAGTTCATGACTTTATCATATTCCTGAATCCTCTGCTTTATGTGTGAGAGTTTGTTCTTTAGGTAGTCGCAGCGTTCCTTTTTCTCCAGAAATGAAGGATCCTGTAAGAGAGACACAGTTACCGTTCAACCCAGCTGCCACGGCAACGGATGCAAAAACGCAACCCAACATAAGCAGGATTGCTGCTGTGGGTTTCAACTAACAGCCAACTCTCTACACACAGGAAATAAGACAGCTTTGTTTCAATATTAAAATGCATTTATGATTAAGAGAGGAGAGAGAGAGGCGGGGGAGGGGAGTTCCATTGGCTCATTCACTGTCCAAATACCTATATGGACCCAGACCTGGCTGGGAGCTGGGAACCCAACGTAGGCCTGCCACGTGGGTGTGAGAGACCCACCACTGGAGCCGTCATCACTGCCTCCTAGGAACGTGTCTGCGGCAAAGTGGCCTGGGTGGCCTGAGTCAGGAACCCAGACACGGCCAAGTGGGATGTGGGTTTCCTGGATGGAGTCTTAACCAGTGGGTTAAATGGGTATACATGGGTGGCCATGTATACGGAGAACTATGTCTCATTTTAGTTGGTCCACAGTGTTTCTGCACGATACATGTATACAATGTGTGGTGATCAGAGCCTGGCGCATCCATCCAGTTCTTTGTCTCGGGAACATTCAAAGTCCCAACTGTTACTCTGAAATACGTAGTGAGTTATTGTCAAGTTTATAACCATCCCGAGTGGGAGAGCCTCGCCTCGCCCTTGTTCCACGCAGCAGCGCCGCTGAGCCCATGAACCTCGGCCCTCCCCACCCCGACCTCCAGCTGTGCCCTCATGCCCACCACCCTCCCCCTCGCTCTTCCCTCCTGGTCTCTGGTTCATCCTGACCTCTGCCACACAGGAGTGAGGACATTTGTCTTTCTTTCTGTGCTGTGCTGACTTTGCTTTCTACTTTTTAAAATACAGACTTAAACTTTTTTTTGATTTATCTCTTTGTTTGAAACACAGAGTGACAGAGAGATCTTCCACATGCTTTGCTTACTGCCACGAAGGACCCACAGCCCGGGCTGCTCCAGGCCAAAGCCAGGAAAGGCTCAAGGAGTTCCATCCGGGTCCCCCAGGTGAGGAGCAGGTGGCAGGTGCCCATGGACTTGGGCCATCTTATGCTCTTTCCCAGGTCCTTTATCAGGAAGCTGAATCGGACATGTAGCAGCTGGGACCGGAGCAGGGGTCAGTGTACAGGTGATGGCTTAACACACTGTGCCACACAACAACCCCCTTTTTAAAGCAGTTTTAGGTTCATGACAAAGTTAGGCGAGAAGTGCAAAGAGCTGGGGCACCTTCAGTCATGTGAAGTATAATAAAAAAAAATAAACAGAAAAAAAAACATGAATAAAATGTCTTGCAAGTGTACTGATTGGTGAGATTCAGTTAAGGACGGGGTTGGAAAGCTGCAGAATAAACTGTTATGAAGGGTTACAGTGTGCACTCCATGGCTGTGAGTCAGCATGGCAGGATGCCCCCGGGACAGAGCCTGCCAGGCAAGGTGAGCGCGGTGGACCCTGGAGCAGAGTCAGTTAAGTCATGGCTGGGACATGTGCGTTCCATACAGGGGCCCCCTCCTGAGTCCTAGCTACTCCGCTCCCATCCAGCCCCCTGGTAATGTGCCTGGGAAAGCAGCAGAGGATGGCCCAAGTGTTTGCGTCTGGCCTACCCACTTAGAAAACGGTTGGGAATTTCTGGTTCCTGGCTTCAGCCCAATCCAGCCCTGGCTTTTGTGGGGTGAACCAGTGGGTGAAAGAGAAAACATACTCTCTGTCACCATGCTGTAAAAACAAGCTAACTTGAAAAAAAAAGAAAGTTCTACAGATTAGGCACCACTTGCAACATGGGCAGCCATTCTGGGGTACCAGTTGGAGTTGCAGCTGCTCTTGGCGATCCAGCTCCCTGCAAAGGTGCCTTGAAGGGCAGCAGAGTATGGCCCGGATGCTTGGGCTCCTGCTGCCCTCGTGGGAGACCTGAAGGAGCCCTGGACCTCTGCCTTCAACCCAGATCAGCCCTGGTCATCCTAGCCACTTGGGGAGTGAGCCAGCAGATGCAAGATCTCTCCCTCTTTCAAATCACCCATCCACTCAGTCAGTAGCCTGACACGTGATTCCCTCTTGCCTGTAAACTTGTGCAATAAGTAAAGAAATCTTAAAAAGGAAGGGGCAGCACAATGGCTCAACAGACTAGTCCTCCACCTGCAAGCACTGGCATCCCTTATGGTCACAGGTTTTTGTCTTAGCTGTTCAGCTTCTGATTCAGCTCCCTGCTAACGGTCTGGGAGAGCAGTGGCGGACGGGCCCCTGCACCCACAAGGGAGACCCGGAGGAAACTCCTGGACGAAGGCAGTTCCAGCCGTTGCAGCCATTTGGGGAGTGAACCAGCGGATGGAAGATCTTCCTCTCTGCATCTCCTCTTCTCTCTCTGCAGTGTTGACTTCCCAGCCAGGAAAGAAATGACAGAAGGCAAAGCTGTGGCCAAGAGGCGGGCTGAGAACACACGCGGAAGAAGGCTGTGACTACTTACATTTTTTTTCTTGGCAAACTCTTCATGGATTCTTGAAATTCTCTCATGTTCCTAAAAGTAATAACAGATGTTATTTTTATGCAACTTGTGTTAAACTTCAAATAACTTGTGTTAAAAAAAAGGCCTGCATCTACTCCAATCAGCTCTGAAAACACACACACACACAACTAATTTTTACCAAAGATGACCAGGAAACTATTTAGCCAACAATCTTCAATTTTGAAAATAACTCTTATAAGATCCTAACTGAGCCTGGCACGATAGCCTGATGGCTAAATCCTCACCTGGCATGCACCTAGCACATACGGTTTGTATCCCAGCTGCTCCACTTCCCATCCAGCTCCCTGCCTGTGGCCTGGGAAAGCAGTTGAGATGGCCCAAGGGCTTGGGACCCTGCACTGGCATGGGAGACCTGGAGGAGGCTCCCAGCTCCTGGCTTCAGATCAGCACATCTCCAGCCACTGCGGCCATTTGAGGAGTGAACCAATGGATGGATGATCTTTCTCTCTGTCTCTCCTCTTCCCTGTATATCTGAGTTTCTAATAATAAACAAATAAATCTTAAAAAAAAAGATTATAACTATTGCCAGTTTTTGCAATAAAGATGACATTTATTCAGGGCTTGGATCTTCCGCACTGGATCAGACTGCCAGAGCCAAGCCCTTGATGATCTGTGATCTGAGCTGCCCAGGCACAGAGACTGCCACATGTGGCCCACCTCATCAACAGAACGCAAAGGCAGTGCCTTCACAGCCCTGCCCGGGCACCTTCCCCAGCCCCTACCCCCATCCTTTCCTGCACTGTCTTGAATTCTTCCATGTTCGCCATAGATTATATCTCGAGATAGGCTGCTTTTGTATTGCTTTGCAGTAACCACAATGAACTTGATAATGCCAGGGCCATCCGTGCCAGCAGGTCCTGGACCATGAGTAAACCTGCTGCTGGGGCTGAGCTGCCAATGCTGGAGACGCAGGCAGAGGCTAGAGCTGCTGAAAGACTCCTCTACAGTGTGTCAGGGAAAGACAGAATCTGAGACCTTCTCCCTGCTTGTTAACTCCCCAGATGGCCACAACAGCCAGGGCTGGGTCAGGCTGAAGTCAGGAGCTTTTTCTATGACTCCTGTGTGGGGATGGGGGCCCAAGAACTTAGGCTGCCCTCTGCTGCTTTCCCACCTGCATTAGCAGGGAGCAGGACTGGAATTGGAGTAGCCAGGACTTGAACGGGGGGCCTATACGGGATGCTGGCTGGCAGGTGGCTGGCCCTGATGGTTATCGTTTGAAGGGTGCACAGCCAAGTGAGGAAGAGACCTGTGGTTTGCTGGGTACAAGGGAGCCAAAGGAACGGGCCTGGCAGGACGCTGCCAGCTCAGCAGGTGCCAGTGAGAAGCTAACCTGTGTGACAGTGACGCAGCATGCCTGAGGGAAACGTGGGCAGTGGCTACGGGCCTGTCACTCTTGAGTACTTATTTGCCAGGGTCTCGTAGCAAACAGAGAGGTCATGCATGCTGTGTGTCTGCGCGGGAGCATCCCCGGATCTCCACTCTGACCAGGGCGCCCTATCCTTTCCCCCGAGAGTGTTGGGCGGCCCTGTGCTGCTGGCTCCTGCCTGCACTGCTTGGGGGAGGCGGGCTACTCTAAACCTGGCCACCTTGCTTGGGCCTGTGGATCCCGCCTCTTTCCCAAATGGAACCAACACGCGCCGCCCTTTTGGTACCCGGATTTCTCCCGCTTTCCGTGCACATGTCTCCTTAGCCTCTGGGACTGGATGTCTCGGCTGCACACCATGGCCTAGGGAGCTCATGGCAGACACTGAACAGTGGGCACCTGAAGAGCTGGGCTTGCAGCTGAGACCTCCTACTGACACGGGGGTGCAGGGTTTACATACACGCGCATGCGCTCATATTGTCTTAACATTTCTCTGAAAGTTGTGTGCACTTTTAAAAAAATTCATTTATTCACTTGAAGCACAGAGTTGCAGCGCAGGGGAGGGGTGTCTTCCATCTGCTGCTTCACTCCCCAAATGGCCTCAATGGCCAGAGCCGGGCTGGTGGGAAACCAGGAGGACCCATGAGCTTTGTCTGAGTCCCCCAGGTAGGTGCTGGGACCCATGGCTATGGAAAAACAGCATAAAGATAGCCCAAGGCCTGGGACGCTGCATCCACTGGGAGAGCTCGAAGAAGCTCCTGACTCCTGGCTTTAGATCAGCCCAGCTCAGGTCATTGAGACACCTGTACTAACAGAGTTAGTTACTCTATGTGAATCATTGTAAGTGGCTGGTTATGTGGCACAGCGGGTAAAGCCGCTGTCTATGAGGCTTGGCACAGGTTCGAATCCCAGCTGCTCCACTTGCGGTCCAGTTCCCTGCTCACTTGCCTGGAAGAGCAAGTGCTGGATCCACTGCACCCATGTGGAAGAGCTGGAAGAAGCTTCCGGTTTGCCACTGGCACCTAGCTCCAGCCCTTGCCGCCATTTGGGGAGCAAACCAGCAGTTGGAAGAACAACTTCCCTCTGGGCTCCAGGACCCCCAGCCCCGAGCCTTGTGGGCTGTGTAGCTCTGCCTTTCAAATAAATCAGTGAAGCTTCAAATAAAAGCCACCGATCATGAAGCATCCCCATTTCAGAGAAACAGTGAGCAATGAGGCCAAAAAAACCCCCAACAGCCCAGAAGTTTCAGCCCCAGTGTAGCAGTGCTGGGCCCCGGGTGGCAGGGATACTGGTGGGGTGGTTGACAGGGGTGCTGGTGGGGTGGGTGGCAGGGGTGCTGGTGAGGTGGGTGGCAGGGGTGCTGGTGGGGTGGGTGGCAGCAGTGCTGGGCCCCGGGTGGCGGGGATGCTGGTGGGGTGGGTGACAGGGGTGCTGGTGAGGTGGGTGGCAGCGGTGCTGGTGGGGTGGGTGGCAGGGGTGCTGGTGGGGTGGGTGACGGGGTGCTGGTGGGGTGGGTGACAGCAGTGCTGGGCCCCGGGTGGTGGGGATGCTGGTGGGGTGGATGGCAGCGGTGCTGGTGGGGTGGGTGGCAGGGGTGCTGGTGGGGTGGGTGCCGCGGAGGGTCACGCACCTGGCGGTTGTCAGAGCGCTGTGGCAGTCGGCTCATCACCGTGTCCAGCTCGTCCAGCTTGCGCAGCACGGCCTGCACCTCGGCCGACAGCTCCTTGTACTCCGAGAACTGGTCCTGGAACACGGCCTTGTAGCGCTCGCGCTCGTCATCCGTCTGAATGGCCGGGTATTTTCTGGAAAGGGGAAAAGAGATGGCCAAGCTGCTGGCTTCTCCCAAGTGTACTGCTCCTTCAGGGACCGCAGGGAGCCCTCAGGCCCGCCTTGGCAGAGCACCCCTCACCAAAGGGCTTCCGTGATTTGGGTGTGCTGAGATCCTAAGGGCACACACAGATCTTGCAGATGTACAGTCAAGGTTTAGCAGGAAAGCATCACGTTACCCCCTAAGATGATGTCGCACAATGTTTTAAATAATTTTGTGTACAAAAGTTTCCTGCTGTGGAATTTCTCGCTTGCAGCCCTCATGGTGATACAGGAACAGTTTCAGATTTGGGGTTATAGATGCTCAACCTGTGTGACTCCGATAACAGCTTTTCACATAAACGATTTTAAATAGTGTATCCTAGATTTAGAAAAATTGAAAGACATGCGCGTCCGTGTGCAACACACGTGCATGTATGGAGAGGGGGAGATGCCTGTGGCAGCTGAGAACGGGAGCTGGGAATGCCCACGGAGGTGGCTGAGACTTCACTCGCACACCATCAGCGTGCACATGACACGAGCAAGATGCTGGCACTTAGCTGAGCCTCCAGCGGAGGTGCCAGGCTTCCCTATGGGCACTAGTTGCTGGATTGTGTCCCCGTTGCTCCACTTCTTATGCAGCTCCCTGCTCATGGTCTGAGAAAGCAGCAGAGGAGGGTCCAAGCCCTTTGCACCTCCTAAGCCACAGCCCAGTGTGGGGCTGGTGTGATGACTCAATTTGCTAATTCTCCACCTCCAAGTGCCAGCATCCCATATGAGCACTGGTTCGTGTCCTGGCTGCTCCACTTCCCATCCAGCTCCCTGCCTGTGGCCTGGGAAAGCAGTCAAGGATGGCCCAAAGCCTTGGGACCCTGCACCTGCGTGGGAGACCCCGAGGAAGCTCCTGGGTCCTGCCTTGATCAGCTCAGCTCTGACTATTGTGGCCATTTGGGGAAGGAACCAATGGTTGAAAGCTCTCTCTCTCTCTCCTTTTCTCTCTGTAACATTGCTTTTTAAATAAAGAAAATGGGATTAAATTTTTAAAAATAATTAAAAGCAGGGCCCGGCGCGGTGGCGCAAGTGGTTAAAGGTCTTCGCCTTGCACGCCTGGGATCCCATATGGGCGCCGGTTCTAATCCCGGCAGCCCCGCTTCCCTTCCAGCTCCCTGCCTGTGGCCCGGGAAGGCAGTCGAGGACGGCCCAAAACTTTGGGACTCTGCACCCGCGTGGGAGACCCGGAAGAGGCTCCTGGCTTTGGATCGGCATAGTATCGGCCCGTTGCGCTCACTTGGGGAGTGAATCATCGGACGGAAGAACTTTCTCTCTGTCTCTCCTCTCTGTATATCTGCCTTTCCAATACAAAAATAATAAAAATAAATCTTTAAAAAAAAAATAATTAAAAGCAGCAGCACTTGGGAAAGCAGCTGGGCCTGGAACTCAGATACCCCACTACTGGGTAAAGACAGGTCAAATGGCATCTTCATGGTCGCGCAATCTGTCCCCCCCCACCAGGGAGCCACACCGGAGGACCACAGGCCTGCAGGGAACTCCTCCACCTCTCCCTCCCAAAGATCCCTGACTGCCACTCACGCCACGTAGTCGGGCATCACGATGGGTTTAGGGGTGTAGCCTGGCGGGATGTGTCCGCTCAGGAGCTCCGGCTTCACTTTTGTTGTCCTTAACTCTTTGAAATTAACGTCCGGGTCTCTGTGTCTGTCGCTGGGGGCCATGTCACACTGCAGTTCAGGAGAAGAAAACAAATGTATAAGCAAACCAAAGCCTGGAGTTGTTATTCTTGGAGGAGAGTGAGTAGAGAGGGGGGCAGGAGGGAGGGAAGCGGCAGTGGTAACAGACTCTGCCCTTCAGAACTGCGTGCACCGTGGGCGTAAAGGCATTCCCATGGCTTTTGCACAGGCTGAAGGGAATCATGCTGGCATCCCGGCGTACACAAGGCACCCTCCAACCCTGAGGGCTGCCTTTCAAAGGTGGAGGACGAAATGAATGCAAGGGGTTGTGAATGCTTCATCTAGGATCTATCCCTTACCTGTCAAATAACAAAACACGGTGTGGCACGTGGCACGTCAGTCCAGAGGCTGACCACACGTGTGCGCACGTGTGTGTGTGTGTGTGTGTCTGTGTATGTGTTTTACTGGAACAGCTTAAGCTTCTGCTTGCATCGCCCGGATCCCACATTCAGTGCAGGGTTCAAATCCCAGCTACATGGCTTTCGATCCAGCTCCCTGCTAATGGATCTGGGAAAGCAGTGGACGATGGCCCAGGGATTCAGACCCTGGCCGAGGTTTCTGGCTCCCGGCTCTGACCTGGCCTAACCCTTGCCTACTGTGGCCATCTGGGGAGTGAGGCTGTGGATGCAACATCTCCTGGACTTTGTCACTCTCCCTTTCAAACCAATAAAAGGAATTAAAACAAACCAAAAAACAGGCAGGTTCTGGGTGTCTGCACCTATGGGTCCCTGCCGAGGCTCGATCAGGAATCCTGGGTGCAGACAGCAGCTGACGTCATCCCGGCTTCAGCACGGCCGTGGGCTCTTCGAGGCCTTTTAGTTAAAGGAAAGAGAGCACCAGAAACAAGAGAAGGCAACAGGTTTCAGAGGATGCATTCAGGCGTGGACAGACACACGGACAGTCTGGCAGGTGCAGAGGGATGCAGCTGCAACAGGCAGGTGAAGGATGCTCGGCCTTGAAGCAGGAAGAGGACCGTCCAAGGCTCCACAGACAGCACTCGGAATGGCACCCCTGTTAGTAAGAACGGAAGGGCCAGAAGGGAGATGTCCACTTTTTCACTTTATACATCCTGACAGGGCACGGCAATTTTTATTTATTTTGATTGGGAATTCGGATATATAGAGAGGAGGAGAGACAGACAAGAAGATCTTCCATCCAATGATTCACTCCCCAAGTGGCCACAACGGCCAGAGCTGGATCCAAAGCCGATTCAAAGCCAGGAGTCAGGAGCTTCTTCTGGGTCTCCCACGCAGGTGCAGGATCCCAGTGTTTTGCGCCGTCCTCAACTGCTTTCCCAGGCCACAAGCAGGGAACTGGATGGGAAGTGGGGCTGCCAGGATGACAACCAGCACCTATATATGGGATTCCGTGTGTGTAAAGCAAGAACTCTAGCCGCTAGGCTACTGCACTGGGCCCACAAGAAAAAAAAATTTTTAAAAGATTATATGAGAGAGAGAGAGATAAAATCTTGCATCCACTGACTCACTACCCAAATGGCAGCATTAGGCTGAGCTGAGCTGAAGCCAAGAATTCCTTCTGGGTCTCCCACAGGTGTGCAAGGAGCCATCCTCTGCTGCCTTACAAGGTCACAATCAAGGAATTGGACTGGATGTGGAGCAGGCAGGACTAGAATCGGCGTCTACAACGGATACCAGCCCTGTAGGTGAAGGATTAGTCTGTTGAGCCACAGCACCAGCCCCAGGGCAAGGCAATTTTTGCAGGCTCACAGGGTCATTAGGGGGGAAAAAAACCCCACAATTATAACCCACAACTCTTTGGCTGCTTGAACATACTGTGCTCAGGTCCTGTGGTCTTGGGATGGAGAGGCAGTGGGGGGCATCCACTTTGGGGACCTGCTGCCTGGAAGGGGTGAACTTTCCAGCTGCACTGCCCTTCCGACTTCCAGAATGTGCTTACTGAACTGAGCCCGGAAGCATGGCATGGCCCCTCCTCGCCGCAGCAAACACACACAGAACTTTCAACCCTAGCTCTTGATCTCCCGGGGTGGTTTTTGAAGTCCTTTGTTTCCTCATTTCCCTACTGGGGGTGGGGGAGACGGGGAGACTGGCTTTGAGGTCTGGATAAATAGGAACTCGCCTCAAAGCCACCAGCACGGAATTCAGCACTACCAGCACCACCCCTACCCCGCCCCCAGCACCCTGGGATTGGCTGCCAACGGCGGGGGGGGGGGGGGGGGGAGGGAAAGGGTGTGGAATGGAGAAGCCAGCCTGGGGCCGGGGGGGGGGGGGGGGGAAGTGAAACCGGAACCCAGGTGCAGGCAGGTGACCACGGCACGCCTGGCATGGGCCCCACCGGCAGGAGACGGAGCAGGGAGGAAGCTAGGGTGCTTGGGAAAATGCCTTTTGTGGCTGGGCCTGCTTCTGCTGCCTTCTTTGCTGGTTAGGGACCTGTTTCTTCCGCCTCGTGAATTCCTGCGTGTTTAATCTTGGAAGTGAAGCACCAGGTTAAGACACGGCACAGCTCTCTTCTTTCGGCTCAGATACATGGGTTTCGATTTCATGGCCTCTCCCCGTAGCTTTTAAATATTTCACAGAGCCGTAGGCAGGTGGTTGCCCGGAGAAGCTGCCATGTGGCCCGGCAGGTGCTCCTCCCAGTCTCAGCAGCAGCCCGGCCTTCAAGCTTGATTTCCTGGTCAAAGTCACGACTATTGATCCAGTGGTGTCACAGGGTACGAGATGGCATGATAAGTTTTTACTTTAGAGAAAGTTCCCTCGCCCCAGGGAAGAACTATCCATTTCCCTCCACTGCCCATCCCTAATGAGACAGCTTCATTTTTTATATAAAAAGGAAATTTCAAGAAATCAGAGGGTGCCAGTATTGTGGCATGGTGCATTAAGCTGTGTCTGTGACACTGCCATCCCATATTAGGTACCAGTTCCATTCCTGACTACTCCACTTCCAATCCAGCTCCCTGCCAACAGCCTGGGAAAGCAGGTAACAATGGCCCAAAGGCTTGGGTTCTTGCCATCACAGAGAAAAGTAAGAGGAAGTTCATGGCACCCGGCTTTGGACTGGACAGCTTTCAATTCGGTTCAACTGAGAGACATACACAGTTTTCCGTGTTTTCATCCAATGGTTCATCCCCCACAGGCCCTCAACAGTAACACCAACAGCTCCGCCGTCCAGGTCTGTCCAGGTGGGTGGCTGGAACCCAGGATTGCTATCTCCCCAGGAACGAAGCTGGAATTAGGACCCGCACCGAGGCCCCCCAACATGGAATGCAGGCAGCCCGGGTGGTGTGTGCACACTGCACCAAGAGGCAGGATCCTGTAGGACTGTTTCCACCGTGAACGCTGGGAAAAGACCTCAATGCTCACGTACGGTTCGATCAAGTACAGTCCACCTACTCAATGCAGCATTACAGAATTATAATTTTATATCAATAAGAACCATCTTGCAAATGGATGCATTCAGTGAAAGGAACGACATAACTCAGACATCGCTCAGAAGCAGGAAGAGGGTAAACACAGGTGGGTGTGTGAAATCTATGCAGTGAGTTCAAAACATCTTCAAGTCCAAATAAGCTTCTCTCAATTCCATGTTCCCCAGGAACTTTCTGGAAGTAAATTAAAGCTCTGGGTAACAATGTTCCTTCCAGCTGGGTAGGCGTTTGTGCTAGAGACCCTTTGGGTTGTAAAGAAATCGAGTCCCTTTTCAAACAAACAAATCTAAAGGTTGGATCCTCAACTTCCTGTACAGAAGCAATGCATAGCATGTCGAGAATTCTTAATGAGGATAAAATTCTGATGATTAAAATACATTAAATTATGACATGCATGCAATTAATTATATTAATAGCAAACCAAGGACTCCTCTCAGTAAACTCAACACGTGGAAATTATTATTACTGAGCTGGCACTGTGGCATGGTAGCTAAAGCCACAAGCTATGATGCCAGCATAGTATGGGCATCGCTTCGAGGCCAGGCTGCTGCACTTCTGTTCCAGCTCCCTGCTAATGGTCTGGGGAAGCAGCAGCAGATGACCCACGGCCTTGGGTCCTCGCACCCTTGTGGGAGACCCAGAGGAAGCTCCAGCTTTTCCTGGTTTCTGTCTGGCCCAGGCATGGGCATTGTGGCTAATCAGGGGGTAAAGCAGCACACAGACGAGCTCTCTTTCTCTCCAACTTTCAAAGAAATCATTTTTGTTAAAGAAACAATTGTTCTTATCCCGGTGCTGCGGATGAAGAAACAGAGGCAGGCTAGTAGGCGGTGGGACAGGAACCCCAGACATCGCAAAGCGAGAAGAGCTGGAGACGAAAGAATTCCATGTGACAGCTATTCAGCACTTGACCATGCTGACACAGAGCTGGGACAGAGAAGCTGCAAGCAAATCCACAGGCAAAGTATAACATGAAGGAGACTCTTACCATTTTCCTTTTTGATGGCAATGATGATTCATTCATCTGGAACAGAAAGCGTTACAATGAGGCTACTTTGTGACTGCTTCCATTCACCTGCACTTGGTAAGTACAAGTTAACCTCAAGTTTACGGAGGTGGAGCCTCAACTTGCCAGACGCCCCTCCCACTCTCCAGCCTGGTGCTCCACGGGCTATGGCAAACCAATGCAGGGACGAGACCCAGCCTGCCTGTCACTCCAGAGCAGTGGTGGGACGGTGGGGGCTATGAGATTAGCTGCCTGAAATCACGCAGACTAAACCCTGGCTCCCATACCCTCACACAGTTCAACAGTTGGCATGGTTACCTTACTCCTCAACAGAAGGCAGCCTCAGCCCATCTCATCTAACCTCCAGGAGATGCCAACGGCACTCAGGCAGGTCTGCCTTCAGCGTCAGGGGGACTCGGGTCCCGTCATGCACTACCAAGTCTCACGGCCGTGAGTCTTGATTGAGAAAGGAGAAATAAGTAAAAGTATCAAGTTGACAACTAATCATATTCCTGCAGAATTTTGAAATACTGTCATTATCTGAAATATTATGTTGTTGAACCAGCAGAAACTTGTAAGGAAGTGTGTGGGTTTTATTCTCTGGATTCCATATTGACTCGCATGCCCAATTCTCCATTTTATAAGGAGATGTACACTTAAGAAATGTGCTTAGGAAAATAAATAAATAAATAAAAATAAAATAAAAGAAATGTGCTTAGGAGGCCAGCATGGGTGGCTCAACAGGCTAATCCTCCACCTTGCAGCCCTGGCATCCCATGTGGGTGCCAGTTCCAGTACTGGGCGCTCTACTTCTAATCCAGCTCTTTGCTTGTGACCTGGGAAAGCAGGAGATGGCTCAAGTCCTCGGGCTTCTGCACCCATGTGGGAGATCCAAAAGAAGCTCCTGGCTCCTCGCTTTGGATCAGTTCAGCTCTGGCTGTTGCATTCATTTGGTGGTGGTAGGGGGGAGGGTAAGCCAGTGAAGAGCAGGTCTGGCAGGAGAACTTAAGGAACTCCCCTGCTGGGTCTGTAGTTCCCTCTGGGGTGCCAGGACTGGAGGCAGGCCAGGCCAGGCTATGCCAGGTCTTAGTACCTGCTGGCAAGCACGATAGCCAGGGCAGGTGTGGGCCATGCCTGGCTGAGCCACAACATCTGCCAGCAAGAGTTGAGACTGTGGACAGGTTATGGCAGTTGAGTCGAAGCACCTGCCAGCACACACAGGAACTGAGGCTTGGGAACGGGTCTGGTAGGGGAACCCTGGGTACTTCCTTGTTGGGCTGCAGCTCACATCAGTAAGTGACAGAACTGGTGTTGTGGGTGGACCAGGCTGGGCAAGGTTGCAGCATGTATTAGCATACCTGTGTCATGGGTCTTGGGGCAGGCCAAACTGGGATGGGCTCCAGCACTCGCTGGTGCTCCTGAGTGCCAGGATGGGTGTGGGACAGACCAGGCTAGCCTATGGCACCTACCAGGTCACATAAGAGCTGGGTCTGGGGGTGGGCCAGGCTGGGCTAGGCCACAGCACCCCTTGGTGAGAGCCAAAATGAGTATTGGCCAGTCAGGTTAGGCTGTAGCACCCACTGTTGAGTGCCAGATTGGTAAGTACCAAATTGGCCTGGGCAGTGGCACCCAATGGCACATGTATGAGCTGGTTCTGGGGACAGGCCACACAGGGTCTGTCCACACAGTGGCATGAGTGTGAGCTAGGACAGGGTGCAGGCCAGCCTGGGTTAGAATGCAACACCTACCAGTTCACATGAGTTCTAGGGGTGGGCCAGGCTGGACAAGGTGGAATACCTGTCGGCATACATGAGGGCTGATTTTGGGGGGCAGGGCTGAGCTCAGGCAGGGCTGAGCTAAGCCTTAGCATCCATGGGTGTACATGGGAGTCGGATGGGACATGGGCTGAGCCAAGCTAGGCCACAGCAGAGGCTGGCATGTGCAAATACTGGGTCTGGGGGAGAGCCGGGTGAGAATTATTGGGGCTTGCCCCTACTACGTCATGGCACCCACTGGTATGCATGAGGCCTGGGTCTGTGCTGGGCTGGCTGGGTTGGGCCACAGTACCCACTGGTTTGTGTGAGCTTTGGGGCTGGGATGGAACAGACCAGGCAGCTGGATCCATTGGTATGTACACTGCTGGTACAGGTGACAAACTTCACCTGAGCCTGCACTGGCTGGCACACCTAAGAGTCAAATCTGAGGTCATCCCAAGTGAGGCTTCTTGGGGGGGGGGGACTCCCCGACTAGACCCCTGAACTCAGACCTTGGCCACAGGAGAACCACAGGCTGTGTGGTCTGACTTTGGAGTGCATGTGTCAGGACCAGGCCTCCTCAGCTGCCGATGCCTGTGCAGTGGAGACAACATCCAGACACACATGGGGCTCCTGCTGGCCAGGTCATCTAGGCCAGAGGGGCCTGTGAACGGCCTCGTCAGAGGATGGAAGGCAGACCAGGTAGACCACTCTCCTGGCCAAGCTTTGCAGCATGTTCCTGACTCTGTGGCTGCACTAAGGTGGACTCTCTTAACCAGAGGACCTTGGAAAGATTTTCTCAACCCTGGAGCAACAAAACCACCCTTGCAACACCCTTGGAACACCCTTCCTGACACTGCGAGCTCTAAGTGTCATCAATGCACCGTCTCCCACCCCGGGGTACTGATGTGGTGTGACAGCAAGGAGGGGGCCCTTGCTCCCTCCTTCCCTGCGGGCAAGGGGAAAAAAAAAACCTGAAAACCTGTGTCCGCCATCTTCCTCCACGCCTGACTCCCCACCCTAACCAGAGGCCCATAGGCGTGTGCATCCCTCTTAACCGTGTAAACAATATCAAAGTTAACATTTTTTTAAAAGGTAAAAAAAAAAAAGGAAGCAAAACATCAAGTTCTCTCAGGGTGTATCAAAACTAGAACATACCTGAAACATTTTTTGCCACCAATTAGCTTAAATAATTTTAAACAGTGATTTTCCATCATCACAAACATGGTGAATTAAACATCAAAGGCTGGGGGCGGATGCTGGGGTGCAGCTAGTAACGGCACAGCCTCTTGGGGCCAATACCCCATACGGACGCAAACTTCCGTCCCAGCTGCTTTACTCCCAACCCAGTTCCCCACGAATAGCCTGGGAGAGCTGAGGAGGATGGTCCAAGTGCTTGGGCCGCAGCACCCACATAGGAGACCTGAAAAAAGCTCCTACTCTGGGTCTCCCAGTGGGTGTGTGGGGGACGCTAAGCACTTCAGCCTTCTTGCACTCTTCCCAGGCGCACGGGCAGGGAGCCGTGTAGGAAGTGGAGCAGCTGGGACTTGAACCAGGACCCAGCTGGGATCCCAGCCTTGCAGGCGGAGGCTTAGCCTGCTATGCCACAATGCTGCCGGCAGTCAAGGACAGTAGCCAACCTGTAAGAAGTGACAGTAGGCAATGGCTCACCTCCTGCTGTTCCATGTACTCCCTGTGCCTCCGCGCTGCCTCGTGCCGCCAGAGCTTCAGGCACACCAGGGCGCTGATGAGATAAACCATCATGGTGACGAAGAGGAAGATCATGGCGGCTATCTGGCCCCCCTCCACGCGGCAGAACACCGCATTGACGGGCGTGTTGAACAAGGGGTAGTAGCAGAGGCCGCCTCGGTTGGTGTCGTTCACGTAGACTATGGCCGCGGCCATGTACAGAATGAACAGGGCCACGTTGATGCCAAACTCCGTGAGGGGCCACCAGTGTGAGTCCAGGAGGATGGTCCGGTAGTACATGGACATGCCCAGCACCAGGATGATGAGGGTGGTCACCCACGCCAGGCCGGCCACCACCAGCACGAAGGGGGTCTTGGGACCCGTGTAGTAATAGCCTCCGTACATGCTGCCCAGGCCGCCCGCGCTGCCCACTCCATAGGGCTGCGAGTAGCCGAACAGGTTGTACCACTCGCTGTCCTTGTGGATGTAGGCAGTGACACAGGCGAACACCCCTGCACCCAGCAGCAGCTCCACCACGCCCAGCAGCCGCAGCAGGCCGGCCCACGACTTCATGTAGGAGTAACGCAGGTGGTACTCCTCCACCTTCTCGCTGTAGGTCCGGGCGGACTGCGTGTGCCGCCCCAGGGAGCTGTCGGTGCCAATCATGAGCTCAGTCTCTCTCCGGGCCTGGAAGGTTCCTCCCGAGGGGCCGCTGCCGCTGTCACGGTCTGGCTCTTTGCAGGAGGAGCTGGGCGCAGAGCGCTGGTTGGCTCTGCCCGGGGAGGCGGGAGGGGAGCACTCCACGCCATCCGAGATGTACGGGACGTCAGACAGCGACGATGTCTCCCATTCCGGCTGCTTTCTCTTCCCCCTGAAGAAGTTCTTCCAGGAGTCGGGGATGAAGCGGTGGACAGGTTTGAGGTGTGGAGCGACGGCGGGCGACTCTGTGTCACTTGAGGAGAAGGCGGGGCCGAAGGGTGGCTGTAACGGGAGAGGCGGCGGGGGCAGGGGATCTGCGCTCAAGGCCAGCTCGCTGTCCTGAAGGCTCTGCAGGGTCCTCAGAGTGCCGTCCTCAGTGGGCACGTCCCCCGGGACCTCACGGGGGACCTCACGGTAGCCCCTGTCCCGCGTCCTGGATCTCCCATCACTGGACGACATTGGTGATGCCCACACCTGCGGTCAAGGGTGAAATGTTCATTTATCCTCTGGACAATGCTGATATCCTTCCCAGAGTATTTGGGGGAACTGAACACGACCGTGGTGACTTGTTACGCCAAAAATGACAAAAAAACCAGCCGTGTCTCTGTCACTACTGCATTGCCAGGGATTTAGCTATTATTCCAAGCCACTCGGAAGCAAATGCAACGTTTATGAGTCTGATTTACCTATAAGCAACAAAATGCAAGAAACAGAAGGAGTAGTTTCCAGTGCTGCAGCATGGTGGGTTGAGTATAGCTCACACTGTGTGAACATAATGAACAAAGGCACTCGGACCTTCCAACCATTAGTTACAAAGTAGAAGGTGAGAGGCCAGAGAATGATGCTGTGGCTTAGGCACGACCTGTGAGGCCAGCACCCCCTTCTGACCCAGCTCCCACCTAAAGCCCATGGTCCTATTGTTGGGCTCCTGTCTGCACCCATGTGGGAGACATGGAAGGAACTCCTGGCTCCTGGCTTCAGCCTGGCACAGCCATTGCAGCCCTTTGGGGAATGAGCAGGGGATGGAAGACGTATTTCTGTCTGTCTCTCCCTCTCTGCAGTTTTGCCTTTCAAACAAAAGTCAAATATATCTTAAAAAACAAACAAACAAACAAAAAACCAAAAAAAAAAAACCCAAAAAGAAGGGGACAGGCCAGGCCTGGCACGGTAGCCTAGTGGCTAAAGTCCTTGCTTTGTACACGCCAGGATCTATATGGACGCTGCTTCTAATCCCAGCGGCTCCACTTCTCATCCAGTTCCCTGCTCATGGCATGGGATGGCACTGGAGGACAGCCCAAAGTCTTGGGACCCTGCATCCACATGGGAGACCTGGAAGAAGCTCCTGACTCCTGGCTTTGGATTGGCTCAGCTCCAGCCACTGCTGCTGCTGGGGGAGTGAACCATTGGATGGACGATTTTCCTCTCTGTCTCTCCTCCTCTCTGTATATCTGACCTTTTAAAAAAGATTTATTTATTTTTATTACAAAGTCAGATATACAGAGAGGAAGATCTTCTGTCCGATGATTCACTCCCCAAGTGAGGGCAACAGCCAGTACTGCGCCGATCTGGAGCCAGGAGCCAGGAGCCAGGAACTTCTTCCAGGTCTCCCACATGGATCTAGGATCCCAAAACTTTGGGCTGTCCTCTAATGCTTTCCCAGGCCACAGTCAGGGAGCTGGATGGGAAGTGGAGCTGCCGAGATTGGAACCAGCACTCATATGGGATCCTGGTGCGTTCAAGGCTAGGACTTTACCCGCTAGGCCACACAGCCAGGCCTGTATATCTGACTTTTTAATAAAGATGAATAAATCTTTAAAAAAGAAAAGAAAAGAAGGGGACATGTTGATCACCCTGATTTAATCAGGCACATTGTACGGATATCACTTTGTAGCCCCAAACACGTACAACCACTGTCAGTAGCAATACATTTTAAACCCTGCCCCCGTCCTTGCAAATCACTGAATGTCAACAAGACGGGGAGCTAACACACTCCCAGTGGAATCCTTTCCTCAGACATCTGAATCCAAACATTCGCGCACCCCGGGACTTGCTGGGTCAGCATGTGTGTCACTTCCGGGAACTTCCGCCTGCTGTGCGACGGCCAGGCAGCAGTCAGGGAGACAGACCACCTGCTGGCCAGAGTGCCAGCCTGCCCACGCCACGCGAGCCATCACAGGACTCGCCTCTCCCACTCAAAAACACTAACACACGACCTGGGATTCGAAACCCTGAAATCTCAGAGATAAAAAATCCGCAATGTGATCCTGAGCGCCACCAACAGCATTCCTTCCACCATTGCTACAGCACGTCATCAGGGGGAGACCCAAGCATCCTGGGACGTATTCCCCCCTTGTCGAAAGTGAATCAACGGAGCATGTTCACTAAAGGGCATCACTTGCTGACGTAACTCACGGGGCTAAGGCACTAAGAACTCCTCCCTCCGGCGGCTTACATCGAAGTCAGGATTAAAGACCTACCGGTGCGACACTTCAAAGCCCCCAAAACTAAAATGGATCCTCTCAGTCCCAGGGGGCCGCACTATACCCAAGGCTTGATTTCTTTTGCCTTGGACAATACAGGCCTGTTATTTGACAAGTATTAAGCCAGCACCGTGTATGCATTGGGCACATCCAAGCTTCAGCAGGGAGCAAAGCAGGCTGGCGTCCCAGGCTTCATGGGGCTTACATGTCACTAAGTGGGGAGACAGGGGACAGTGACAATTTAGGAGGCTAAAAGAACAAAAGTTAAGTAGGGTAGTAAAGAGAACAGCATTTGCCACCTGTAGCACCAGCATTCCACGTAGGTGTCAGGTCTAGTCCCTGCTGCTCCACTTCCCATGATGCTCCCTGCTTGTGGTCTGGGAAAGCAGTGGAGGATGGCCCAAAGCCTTGGGACTCTGTACCCATGTGGGAGACCTGGAAGAGGCTCCTGGCTTCGGATGGGCTCAGCTCCAGCCATTGTGGCTGCTTGGGGAGGGACCCAGGGGATAGTAGATCTCTCAGTCTCTCCTTTTCTCTTTCTCTAAATTTTTCAATAATAAAATATATATACATATTTTAAAAGGTGGTAAGGAGTGATCGGAAGGCAGATGTAGCAATTTTATTTATGTTTTATTGCAAATTCAGATATAAAGAGCAGAGGAGAAACAGAGAGGAAGATCTTCTGTCTGGTGATTTACTCCCCAAGCGTCACAACAGCTGGAGCTGTGCTGATCTGAAGCCAGGGGCCAGGAGCCTCTTCTGGATTCTCCATGCGGGTGCAGGGTCCCAAGTCTTGGGCCATCCTCCACTGCTTTTACAGGCCACAAGCAGAGAGCTGGATGGGAAGTGGGACTGCTGGGATTAGAACCAGCACCCCTATGGGATCCCGGGGTGTGCAACGCTAGGCTACCGCGGTGGGCCCAGATGTAATTATTTTAAGTAGGGACCAGGGAAGTCACCTTATATTGCCAACAACATCTAAATATAGGATTGCAGGTGGGGGCCCAGCAACGTGGCCTAGTTGGTAAATTCCTCACCTTGAAAGTGCCAGGATCCCATATGTGTACTGGTTCTAATCATGGCAGCTCCACTTCCCATCCAGCTCCCTGACTGTGGCCTGGGAAAGCAGTCGAGCATGGCCCAAAGCCTTGGCACTCTGCACCCGTGTGGGAGACCTGGAAGAAGTTCCTGGCTCCCGGCTTCGGATCGGCATAGCACTGGCCATTGCAATCACTTGGGGAGTGAATCATCAGATGGAAGATCTTCCTCTCTGTCTCTCATCCTATCTGTATATCTGACTTTCCAATAAAAATAAATTAAAACAAACAAACAAAAAGGATTGCAGGGAGAGGGGGAAGCCAGTAGACGTTAGGGGAGAAGGTGCTCTGGGCAGTGGGAACTGAGACAGGGTTGTCCCCAGCATGCTCCCAACCCTGCTCCAGGCAGAGGGACGGCACGGCAGAGGTGGGTGGAGCAGCAGTCAGGGGGTAGACCTTGTGGTACATCAAGTGAAGCTGCCTTCTGCAATGCCACCACCCCACACCCGTGAGCCTCTCCCATCCAGCTTCCTGCCAGCGCACCCGGGAGGCAGCAGATGCTGGCCGTGGACTTGAGTTCGGGGCTGGCATTCCTGGCTCCTGGCTTTGGCCCGGTCGAGCCCTGGGAGTCATGGGCATCTGGGGAGTAAACCAGTGGATAGAAGGTACCTCTCTCTGCCTTTCAAACCAACTAACCAATCATGAAAATCAAAAGAAATGTGGCAGGAGATGCCCAGCAGGCAACAGAGGGCCTGCTGTGACTCGGTCAGCCGAGGGAGCTGGTGCAGGTGGGTGGTGGGGCAGCGTGTCCCACAAGGCACTCCGGGGGTCTGCCAATGTGGGTTCCAATTACATGATTAACTGGGACAGCCTGAGGCCGCACCACCGCAAGGGAGGAGCCCGTATGTGACAGTAATGCATTGCTGGTGTTTTTCTGTCCTTTCTGCTGTAGCTGCCTGAAAAAGGTGAAGTTCCAGAAACACAGCAGTGCTCCGACAGTTTTTGAAACACTCCTAAGAAACGCTGATGAAGTTACTTCAGAAAGTTTCCCAGCACACCTGCGGGGTACCCCGCTGCTCAACCTCACTCCACAGGAAAAGTGTGAGTCACTGGAATGGATTTAATTCTCCTTCAGCTGTGAAAACCGACAAACCACTTTCATCAATTATTAAAAACAAAGGAACATTCAGAAATCTGGCGGGGGGAGGGGGAATGTGCAAAAATAAACTACACGACCTCAGAAGGCCACGGTGGGCTGAAGTTTGTTACTGAAATTGTGGTCTCATCACTGGAGCTTTGGTCCCAGCCCCGCCGGATCCATTCTGAGCCCCAGCGCGGTGGAACACAGCTGCCCTCGCCAGGCGTTGAGGATCCGGCCCTCCTTACCTGTCTGCAGAAACCACCTCTCCCGCAGGCTCCACAGTTTCGCTGGGCCCACGCTGGGGCAATTACAGAGATTTCTGGGTTTCGGGGCAGGGGAGGCCTCTGCTGGTTCTAAGAACCCAGGACAGCCAGGGGGCCTGGGGTCCCTCAGCAGGGGTCTCTCCCCCCGCAGCCAGCCCCACCACGCCGCGCCCCAAATCCCGGCTCTGGGTGCGCTCCACCCTGCCCGGTCCGGATGAGAGTGGCGCTCCTCGTGGAAAATCCACTTTAGATCTTCTGTGAGTCCACCCCAAAGTGGCTGGAATTCAGGCGGGCCAAAAAGTTCTAGGTCAGGAAAAGCCAGGCGGCCGGCCCGCGCGCCCCGGAAGGCCGGCGCACCTGTGCCGGCTGCGGGGGAAGCAGCGGGCAGCGACGCCGTGGCCCCGGGCTCCAGCGTGCGGCCGCCGAGAGGGCCAGGGCTCCCGGGGCCGCGGGTTACGGCGAGGCTGAGCTTGCAGGTGGTCTAGGGGGCTCCGAGGGGCCGGGGAGGAGAAAGGCACCCAGAGCGGCCCCACCCCTCCCCGCACTCACCTGCGCGCCGGCCGGAAAGGCGCGCGCTGCGCCCGGGGCGCTGAAACCCGGCTGGCTCCCGGGGCGGGGCGGCCGGGCAGGGCCGAGCTTGGCCCCGCCCGGCTCCGTCAGTCCCCGGCGGCCGAGGGCCCGGTGCCGCTGCTGCTGCTGCTGCTGCTGCCCTGGGCTGGTGACCTCTCCCGGGAGGCCCCGCGGCCAGGTGGCCCGCATCGTCGCCCGACCCAGCCCCCGACCGGGCGTACCCCGGCTGCCAGCCCCCGGCAGGCGTGCACAGAAGGGAGAGACAAAGTGGGATTCAGGGTTTTAATTTTGATATAAAGTATGTATGTTTTCCCCCAAAGTATCTGAGGCACTCCAGTGTACAACGTACAAAAGTGGTATCTGAGACGACACTGCAAATAAGGCACCGAGTTTATTTACACCTGTCCCTGCACTCTGACAGCTTTCTGTCCATATTTACAACCCCGGGAGAGTACTGGATACTGGATTATCCTTCACATTTTCTGATATTTGGCATCGGGTTCAGACACACTTCATACACACTGGCCTCCTCTCCCTAAACCACTCGCAGAACTAAATAAATACTAGAGAGGGAATCACAGAGCCCCGTCGGGCTTGGTCCCAGGCTGCGGAGGAGGAACCCCGGAACCCCGACGGAGCCCGTCTAGGGCCCGTCGCTCTCGTACTCCTCTATGACCAGGTCCTCCTCGTCCACCTCCGCCTGGGCTGAGCAGGGCTGCGGCTGGCTGGCCGGAAGCTCGCTGCTGCTGCTCTGGCTCAGGGGGAGCGAGCAGGAGTCGGCCCTGGGGCGCTGAGCGGGTCCCCAGGGCGCCTCGTCTCCGCTCTCGGGCTCCGGCAGCGCCTGCTCCCTGTCGGTGAGGGCCTCCATCTTCAACCTGCAGGACATCCACAGGAGCCCATCAGTAACAGGCAGGGCGCAGGTCCTGCTGCGGGAGCCGCGCAGCCTCTCCCGTGCTGGCCGGCGTCCCTCCCGGTCCCTTCAAACACCTCTAAGAGGGAAATGACACACGGCAACCTGCCCACCCTCACTGAGAACACGATAATGGTCAGAAAGACGTGCGACAAACTCAAACAGAAAGGACTTAAAAATAGAGAAAGGCTAAAAAACAAACGTTACTGAAGTAAGTCACTCAGCTCAATTGGCAATTTTTAAAATGACTGCGACGGCTAGAGTAGGGCTGGGCCAAAGCCAGGAGCTCTTCCTCCAGGTCTCCCACGCAGGTGCAGGGTCCCAAGGGCTTGAGCCTTCCTCCGCTGCTTTCCCAGGCCGCAAGCAGGGAGCGGGATGGGCAGTGGAGCACCTGGGACTTGAACTGGCACGATGCTGGGGCCAAAGGTGGAAGATTACCATGCTACACCACCGTGCCGGCCTTTCTGAAACAGGGGACGCTGCGATCATTGAGGCATTTCCGGTCATTCACGTGATATACTGACAATATTCCTTGGCTGGGAATGGGCGTCCTGATTTGTAAGACTATGTTGAACCCTCTGCCTTTGTAATTCCATGATTCTACCTAGTTTTATATACTCCTTTGGAAGTAGGTGAAAATATGCTGTATCGGGCCCGGCATGATAGCGTAGTGGTTAAAGTCCTCGCCTTGCACGCCCGGGATCCCATATGGGTGCCAGTTCTAATCCCAGAGGCTCTGCTTTCCATCCAGCTCCTGCTTGTGGCCTGGGAAAGCAGTCGAGGGCGGCCCAAAGCCTTGGGACCCTGCACCTGCGTGGGAGACCCGGAAGAACTCCTGGCTCCTGGCTTCGGATCGGCACAGCTCCAGCTGTTGTGGTGCTTGGGGAGTGAATCAACAGACAAGATCTTCCCCTCTCTCTCTCCTCCTCTCTGTATATCTGCTTTTCAACAGAAATAAATAAATCTTTAAAAAAAAAAAACCTTAAAAAAATATGCTGTATAATTTAATAAAACTGGGGTGGGAGGGAGTGTTGTGGCGTAACCATGTAAGTCGCTGCCTACAATGCTAGTATCCTATATGAGTGCTGGTTCGAGTCCCAGCCCTTCTGCCTCTGATCAAGCTCCGTGCTGATGTGCCTGGGAAAGCAGCAGTGACCCAAGTCCTTGGGCCCTTGTACCCATGTGGGAGACCAGGGGCAAGCTCCTGGCTTTGGACTGGCCCAGCCCAGGCTGCTGTGGCCATTTGGGGAGTGGGTGGAATATGTGGCTTTCTCCCTCATCCTGTAATTCTGCCATTCAAATAAATAAAACATAAATACACAAAAAAAAATTTTAAAAAGGGTTCAAATGCACTTGTATGGTCTTTGATTACTGGGTAAATGTACAATTCTTTTTAAAAGCTTTTATTTACATGAACGGCAGAGTGACAGAAAGAGATGGAGGTCCTGTAGCTACGGGTTCATCCCCAGACGCCTCGAACAGTTCAGGCTGGGCCAGGCCGAAGCGGGGAGCCGGGAACTCCATCCGGGTCTTCAGGTCAGTGCTAGGGGCCCAAGCACTTGGACCATTGTCTGTTGCCTCCCAGAGATATTGGCAGGAAGCCAGATCAAAAGGGGCAGAATTCAATGCCAATCTCTCAGACACGGAATGTGATACCCAAAGTGCCGGCTTCACGCTCTGCCAGCGCAGCTGCCCGCGGCCGGTGTTCCCGGCTCGTATAGATGACCTCTGTCGGCCGTCCACTAAGCGTATTCCCTGGCCAGTTCAGTAACTGCTCTTTGGAAAACCAGAGGATGAGTTTACCTTCCAAAGTGTCGCTTCAGGGGAAGTCTTCCAATATCTTGGATAAAAGAAATCTGAGCTGAAAATAAAGATTAAAAGTTTTAAACAGACAATTCGAGAAAGAAAATATAAAATGACTAGTAAATATGTGAAAAGGTGGTGTTTATATAGATTTTTATCAGAACAACAGAAAGACACCCAGAGTGAGCGAGAGTACTTTCCACCTGCCAGCTCACTTCTCAAAAGCCTTCAACGGGGCCAGCGCTTACGGCATAGCAGGTTAGGCCTCAGCCTGCAGTGCTGGCATCCCATATGAAGGTTGGGGTCCTGGCTGCTTCGCTTTGATCCAGCTCCCTGCTTATGTGCCTGGGGAAGCAGCAAAAAGATGACCCCTGTTGTTGGATCCCTGCTCCCACAAGAGACCCGGAAGACAGGGGAGAGGACAAAGAGAAGAGAAGCCTCTGTCACTGCTGGTGAGAATGTAAACTGGTATAGCCACACTTTATGTAAAGCTATTTGGTACGCGGAGTATGGATATGGGTTCCCCCATGGCTGAACTGAGATGTTTCTAGTTGTGGCCAGATGTCCTGCATAAATGAACGGCTAACTGCACAGCCATGCTCACGGTGGCTTGTGGCCAACAGTCAGAGCTGTCAACAAGCCCCGTGTCCAGACTCGGGTGATATTTGTGCAATATGAAATATGTGAATACCATCAGGCTTAACAGGGAAGGGAAGTGTGACACAAAGGAACCTCAGGTGTAACTGATGACTTACGCTAAGTGAAGTAACACACAGGACACACACTGCAGGATTACGAGGCTGTGAAGTATCTGTAAGAGTTAAATTCCCAGCAGTTGTCCAGGCTACGGGGAGGGAGGAGCTCTGGATGTGCCCGCAGAGCAAGGTGAATACATCCGGTGCTAGGGAACTGCATAACCACAGCGGTTAGGATGCTGTGCATGTTATGGTGAAACATGTCAGGGGGGAAAAAAGACACAGCAGGCTTCCTGGATGACTGCATGAACTCTTCTGTACACATTCCCCAGGGAGATAAGCAAATCGGTGAAAACTCCCAAAAATAAACAAACCAAAAAGAACAATCATTTAAACTCTATGGAAACTGTTGCAAGAAAATATGGTAAATAAGGAAGGACCAATTCAAGGACGAGCGGACAGGCAGCGTCCATGCGGGCCTCACTGCGGGCTCAGCGGGCAGGCGTTGGCTGGGGACGGGCCGCAGGGGGAGGTCTCTCCACCCACCCCACTCACAGGCTGGCTGCCCCACCCAGCGTGTGCTCATCGAACACGGCCGTGGGCCTACAGCAGCAGCAGAGGCTGGGCACCTCAGCAGGTGGCAGCTCAGGAATCCTGCCCCGAGAGAGGCAGCCCACAGGAGAAAGAGCTATGGAGCTCTGTCCAAAGGAACTGGCTTTATCTGAAGCACAGGGTGGGCAAGTTCAAGTCTAAGGGACTGTTGAAACCAGTCTTCTTTTCTTTATAAAACTGACTGACTTATTTTGAAAGAGTCACAGAAAAAAGGAGAGGGAAAGGGAGAGCGAGAGAGAGAGAGACAGTGAGAGAGAGCGAGCGAGCTTCAGCCCACTGTTACTCCCCTGAGTGCTGCAACAGCCAGTCATGGCCCAGGCTGAAGCCAGGATGGCATCTGGGCCTTGCCCGTGGGTGGCAGCATCCAGACGTTCCAGTCACCCACTGCTGCTCTGCCAGGCCATTAGCAGGGGGCCGGGTCAGAAGCAGAGCATCTGGGATGCGAACCGGCATCCTTGCGGGATGCCTGTCATACAGGTGGCAGCTTAACCTGGCACACCACAGCCAGTTCCTTTCTAAGTCCCCTCACTTAGCAATGGTCATGATGTTCATTAGGAAAAGGAAGACCTGTTATTACCTTGGGTTCTCATTGGAATGGTCAGCATAGCAAGGTACGGCAACAGCTGAGTTTGGAGGCATAAAGCCGACACACAGAAGTCAGAAAAAAGTGCTCTTGCTGCTACGCAATTGTCCCGATACTATATGGGAAAGAAAAAAAAAATTATAAAACAAGAAAACCAAACAAAACAAGGGCTAAGTGTTCCTGGAGGCCTGAAGCATAGAGCACAGGCATTCCTCAGAGCTCCTGCAGGGACAGCGTGTGCTGCTGGCCTCATACCCCGGGGCTCTGCTCCGTGTCCGTCCAGCTTCCGGCAGACCAAAGAGGCGCTTTATCATCACAGTTACTATACTGTAACAGCAATTTTAAACTTCCTTTTAAAAAACATGCTTTTGTTTTTTTCGAAATGTAAAATGACAGAGGCAGAGATCTTCCATGTGCTGGTTCACCCTTCCAATGCCCGCAACAGCCAGGGCTGGCCCAGGTCAAAGCCACGGACAGCTGCCAGCTCCATGCAGTTCTACTGTGTGAATGGCAGACACCCACTACTGGGCCACCATCTAACACATTCAAACACGGACTAAGCATTAGCTGGATGGACTAACTGGTACTCCAACATGGGATGCCGGTACCTCAAGCAGCCGGATAGCTTGCTGTGCCACAACACCCACCCTTACGCTATTTTAGTATGTATTTCTATTAACACACAAAAATTGTAAGGTAAACAGCGTGGCATGGCATGGCAGCTGCGGCCACCTCCATCTCATGCCTACCATGTCTCTTGGTTACCTCAAGAAGGCATGATGGGTGATGGACCTGCCCAACACTGGCTTGCCTACAAACACTACCACTTCATACAATAACAAAGCTGGCTAAGGTACCATCTTCAGGACACAAAGTAGAGCATAACCATGCACTGTTACTAAATTACAACAGGCAGCATGTTGTACAATAGACCTCGAACTTATGCTTCCTGTCTAACCGAAAACCTTTTTAAAAGCTTTATCTGCCATTCGCTGGTTCCCTCCCCAAATGGCTGCAACAGCCAGAGTTGAGCTGATTTGAAGCTAGGAGCCTGGGGGCCTCTCCCAGGTCTCCTCTGGGAGTGTAGGGTCCCAAGCCTTTGGGCCATCCTTGACCGCTGTCCCAGGCCACAAGCAGGAGGCTGCATGGGAAGTGGAGCTGCCGGGATTACAACTAGCACCCTTATGGGATCTTGACACTTTCAGGGAAAGAATTTCGCCACGGAGCCATCATGCTAGGTCCTCTAAGTGAAATCTGTATTCTAGGTTTAGTTTAAATCAAAATCCAAGTATAAATCCAAGTATACTTTGATTCTAATAAAGTCAACTAATACATTAATTAGGTATGTGCTTTCAAATTTTGCTTCCTTTCATAAAAATTACTAGAAAATTTGGCATTTTATGTTTCTCTATAGCTGTAAAAATACATGGACCTTAGCAAAAATTTTCTCAAGATAGGTGCATCATTTATTGTTCAAATTTGATTTTACTGAGACATAGCTCACATATCTGAAGTTGATGATTTAAAATGTATACAAAATATATCAACTTTTTTTTTTCTTACCTTTTTATTTATTAGAAGCCACTGGGGTTTGTGCAAGGGCCGAAAACTGGAACCTCCTCCCTGGCAGTGAGCGAATCCTCGGGCCTTGTTGGAATGCATCACACCTCGGGTGGCTACAGATGTGCTGTACTCGTGCAGCAGAGAGCGGGTCTAACAAAGGAGACAGGACGAAAGACAAGAGATTTATCACAGAGCATTATGGGTACCTAAAAATAAGGCCCTAAAAATAACAGTGAGACAGAAGTAGTTAGAGCAAAGTCAACCGAGACACAGCAGCCAAATGCAATGGGTGAACCAGGAGCACGTCTTGGATGGCATGAGAAAGTAACATCCTGGCACAGGAGGGGAGGCTGCCACCTGTCAGGCCTTCATGGCCTGCGGGCACGGTGGTCCTGGCCTGGCCACTCCACCTGGGATCCATCCCCTCTCTGAGGGCCTGGGAACGGCAGATGTCCCAAGTAAAGTACTTGGGTGCCTGTCACCCGCTTGGAGACCTGGATGAAGTTCCTGGGTCCTGGTAAGTATGTGGGCACGTGTCGCCCGCGTGGAGACCTGGACGAAGCTCCTGGCTCCTTGCTCCGGCTGGTCCAGGGCTGGCCTTCGCAGCCTCTAGAGGGTGATCAGTACACAGAAGCTCTCTCTCCCTAACTCTTTCAAATAAATTTGTAAAACCTTAGAGCATTTTGGAAACACCTGGAAAATCGGAACCCAGTGCATATGTTGCTAAGTGACTGTCACCGTTCTTAGCTATGATGCTGACTGTAACCGAGCAGTCTCTAGTCATCCTTTAGTAGCAGTTGTCACATCGGTAATCACCTTCCAAATAAAACCAAACGTGCAACCAGGAGGAGTGAACTGTGCCAAAGTGTGAGCTGGTAGGCAAGTGCTAAGGGTACACATGCATTCATTCGAATATTCTTTCAACTTAGCTCTCTACAGGTTCGGAACTTTTGGCAATGAAAAGAAACAAACAGAGAGAGAGAGAGACAAAGCCTGTGATTGAGCTTCCTGTTGATGCGTGGAGGAGAGACTGATGCTCTGAGGTCTTGGGTTCTTGTCACCCACATGAGAAACCTGGACGGTGCTCCTGGCTCCTGCCCCAGGGCCACGCGGAGAATGAACCAGTGAAGCAAGCATTTGTCCTTCCCTTATTTTCTGTAATCCTGCCTTTCTTCTAAAAAATTTATTTAGCCGCAACGGCCGGAGCTGAGCCAATCCGAAGCCAGGAGCCAGGAGCTTCTTCCTCCAGGTCTCCCACGCAGGTGCAGGGTCCCAAGGCTTTGGGCCATCCTCGACTGCTTTCCTGGGCCACAAGCAGGGAGCTGGATGGGAAGTGGAGTTGCCAGGATTAGAACCGGTGCTCATATAGGATCCCGGCGCGTTCAAGGTTGAGGACTTAAGCCGCTAGGTCACGCCACCAGGTTCAATAAATAAATCTTTTTTTTTAAAGATTTATTTTTATTATTTTTTCATTGGAAAGGCGGATATACAGAGAGGAGAGACAGAGAGGAAGATCTTCCGTCCGATGATTCACTCCCCAAGAGAGCGCAACGGGCCGATACTATGCCGATCCGAAGCCAGGAGCCTCTTCCGGGTCTCCCATGCGGGTGCAGGGTCCCAAAGCTTTGGGCCGTCCTCCACTGCTTTCCCAGGCCACAGGCAGGGAGCTGGAAGGGAAGCGGGGCTGCCGGGATTAGAACCGGCGCCCATATAGGATCCCGGCACATTCAAGGTTGAGGACTTAAGCCGCTTGCGCCACCGCGCCGGGCCCCAATAAATAAATCTTTAAAACAAAACAAAACGACAACAACAAAAAAGCAATCTGAAAAAAATGGAAATTGAAAAAAAAAAAAACATAATAATTGTAGAACAAATGTAGTGCTGTTGCCAGAGAAGTCGGCGTTGGCCGTCCACTACACGCTGCGCGTTAGGTGTGAGGCTGGTTAGGACAGCAGGCAGGTGGCAGGCCAGTGCAATGAGAGGGCCAAGAGCAAGCCGCGTGGCTCGGTTACCGAGGGAACAAACACCACCCACGTCCGACGGACTTACATTCCAGTCCCCGGCGAGCATGTCCGCAAAGCTGAGCAACTCACTGCCTCTCTCCAGGTCCTCCACTTCCAGGAAGAAATCTACATAGTTCTGGTGAAGGTACAGATTGAACAGCTCTCCCGGCATGTGGGACATCTCCACCACTTCCTGGAAGAGAGGGGAGAACACCAGTGGGGCAGCGACACCTGCACCGACGGGAGACAGGCACCGAGCGCTGACGAGACATTACCTCCGGGCAGACAAGCAGCGGGTCCCGCTCATGCTCTGACAGGTGAGATGGCAAGCGAGGGGAGACCAACTCTGTGGAAGGCGCTCCTAGAAAAGTGTTGAGAATCGTTAAAGATGACACCATCTTTATAATTACACAACACCTCCATTTAAAAAAAAAAAAAGATTTATTGATTTTTATTGGAAAATCAGATATTTAGGGGGGAGGGCACAGGTAGGGGCTGAGGGAAACTCAGAACCTATGAAACGATGTCATAAAGTGAAATGCAATAAAAAAAAAAAAGAAAATCAGAGACAGAGAGGAACATCTTCCATCCATTGACTCACTCACAAGTGGCCAAAACAGCCAGAGCTGAACCAATCCGAAGCTCCCTGCCGGTGGCCTGGGAAAGCAGTCAAGGTCAGCCCAAAGCCTTGGGACCCTGCACCCGTGTAAAAGACTCAGAAGAAGCTCCTGGCTCCTGGCTTCAGATTGGCTCGGCTCTAGCCATTGTGGTTACTTGGGGAGTGAATCATCGAATGGAAGATCTTCCTCTCTGTATATCTGACTTTGCAATAAAAATAAACAAACCCCCCCAAAAAAGAGAAAATGCTGCAGACACTTAATGTCACAATAATATGCAAGGTGATAAAATAAAAAACAAGAGGCATGCCTTTGGCCTAGTGGTTACACCATTGGTTGGTTGAGTTGCATCCTGTATGAGGATATGCCATTTTAAGACGCTACTCTGCTCTAAATTCCAGCTTCTTGTTATTGCACAGCCTGGGAAGCAGAAGGCCTAAGCAGCTGGTTCCCTGCCACTTGTGTGGGAGATCCTGTGTGAGCTCCAGGCTGTGACCTGGCCCAGCCCCAGCCTTGATGGCACTTGCGAAGTGAACCAGCAGATGGCAGTATTCCATCACGAATGAATACATACACACTGTAACTTGCTGCAACTGCAGGCTTATGTGATTTCAGGTGTGGGAATCCCTTTTAGTGCCAACGGCAATCTGCATAATTATAAACTCATTTCCAGGACACAAAAAAATTATCCAGTGAGGGGCCGGCATTGCAGTAAACAGCAGGTAAAGCCACTGCCTGGGATGCCAGCATGCCATCGTGGGTGCCGATTCATGTCTCAGCTGCTCCACTTCTGGACAAGCTTCCCGCTGATGGCCGGAGCAAACCAGCACACAGCCATCATGTGGGAGAGCAGGATGAAGCTCCTGGCTCAGGCCGTCTCAGGCCGTCTCAGGCCGGCTCAGGCCGGCTCAGGCCTAGCCACTGCAGCCATCAAGGCAGTTAACTGGATCGTGCAAGATCTCTGCGTTTTTATTAATTCTGATTTTCAAATAACATGAAAATCTTAAAAACAACAACAACAAAAAATGCCCAACTTAAGAATCAGCCTGGCATAAATGTACTGAATTTCAAGTCCTGCCTCCAGTTGCCTTGGTACGCCAGACCTAATGCCTCATTTGGTCCACGGACGAGATGCTCACCATCTCTGCTCAAACACAGTAGCCAGAAGGTGGGGTGAGGGGCACAGGCATTGAAGGAGACAGAAGGCAATGGGCTGGAGCACAAGGTCAGGGAGGACAGAGCAACACAAGAGGACCACAGCAAACTCCATGCTACCTGCAGCTTGCTGCGGGCTCGCCTCGTGCTCAGGGACCCCAGGAGGACAGCACTGGCCACTTACAGCCTGTCCGGCGTGGAGCACGCCACAGCCCTCAGGATTTCCGGACACAGATAATGGACTACAGGAGCCTTTGTGCCATTCGACCCTGCTCGGGGTTGGAGAACACGGACCAACACACATTTCCCCATTACGTGTGGGGTCTTGCAGAATAAGATCTGATCTGGTCTCTGCTCGTTCTTATAACATTTAAAACAAATATATTTCATTTTTCCATTGTAAGACTCATATCCAACAGATTTTAGTCTTTTCTAAAAGAGTACAGATTCTTACTTTTACAGTACAGAATTTTGCCCAATGCTCTGAAGAGAAAGAGAGAAACATCTTTGCCACCAATAGCTTGAACCTCTTGGTCTTCAGAGCCCACATCAGGTTTTCGTCTTTGCCTGGACTTGGACAGCACAGCATCTGATTTTAATGAAGTTCCTTTTTTCCTTGGCCGGAAGTTGCTCCCTCCTAAATGATACACAACCAAGTGATAATAAGTAAGACAGATTCAGGCACAAGAAACAATTTCAAACATAGCTAAATAAAAACAAACACATTTTAAATACTGTTACAACTATACAACTATTCATGGCTGGGCCGTTAGTGGACCCAGCTACTGCACAAAGCTTTCTGTATGTACTTAGCTTTCCTTCACACACTTGAGAAACCCGTGCAAATCACAGAACATGAGGATGCTCCCAAAGCCTGCAACCACGGGTCCACAGGACACCAAGGCTCCTCATCCAGGAAGTCCCACTTCCAATAACTTGGCAAGGTAAAGTAGCAAACGACACAGATGAATCAAACTTTATCTCAAAAACAGAAGGCTGGTGACACAGTCACAGGTGGGACACACGCATGTGCACATGGATAATTTTTAGACACCATTTCCATTTAAGCTGCCACTTGAGCATCAACATCCCTGACTGAGTGCTAGCTGAGATCCTGGCCTCTCTACTTCCAAGCCCTGGCTTCCTGTTAGTGCCCTGGGAAGCAGCAGGTGGGCAAACGGGATGGAGTCCTAGCTGCTGGCTGCAGCCTGGCCCAGACCTGGCTGTGGCAGAGCAGCACTCGGGGAGCGAACCAGCAAATGCAAAACCAGTCTCCCAATGCATCCCTCTCCCAGTCCCCCCTGGTCACTACGCCTTTCAAACAGATACACTGTGAAGTGTACAGAGCATCCTTGGGGTTGGGGAAGCACATCTGGGACCCCGAGTGGACACTGGAAATCAGTACCAAACCCTCTACACACTATCGTTTTTTCCCTGTACATCAAGAAGTAAGTTTAACGCCTCCTCCTGACCAAGGATGCTGCATTCTCTGACTATATGTCACATGCAGCTTGAGGTGGCAGCAGGATGAACATGGCATTTTTCCTTCCTCACAACTTCATGGATAGAAGTCATTCCTACTGTAGATCATAGCTCAGCATGACTCTCCCCCCTTCGCCCCTCTTTTTATAAATTTATTTTTATTGGAAAGGCAAATTCACAAGGAAGGAGACAAAAATCTTCCGTCCGCTGCTATACTCCTCAAGAGGCTGCAAAGGCCAGAGTTGAACCGATCGGAAGCCAGGAGCTTCCTTCAGGTCTCCCACATGGGTGCAGGGTCCCCAAGACCTTGGGCTGTCTTCGACTGCTTTCCCAGGCCACAAGCAGGGAGCTGGATGGGAAGTGGAGCAGCTGGGAAATGAACTGGAACCCACATGGGATCCTGGTGCGAGCAAGGCAAGGATTTAGCCACTCAGTCATTGTGCTAGGTCCCTTCCCTGCCTTTTCTTATTAAGTAGAGAAATACTGTTGACTTAAAGAAGCACAGGGCAGTCTGTTTTTCTCTGGCATATCCTAGTTAGCACCGTCACTACTCCTGTGCTCGTGGGTTTCCTGAACATTAGTGCTGATCACCAAGACGGCCACAGGGCGAACAAGGCGTGGGCAGTGTGTGCAGCATGGACACGCTGGACAAAGGGAAGTGCCACTCCCCGGGTGGGAACGTAGCACATCTCATCACACTTCTAAGAACAGCGCACAATTTAAAACTTGCGAATTTAAGTGGAAATTATCAGAATAATTTCTGATAAGGCCGTAGTGGATTATTTGGGCTGGACAGAAGAGATTTCTCCCTCTGTGTCACTTTGCTTTTCAAATAAATAAATAAAACAAAAGCCCTCATGACTTATCTGGAATGTTCTACCAAACATTTCTGGGTCACGAATGTCTATGAGTAGCTGAAACTTGAGTAAGTAGAGAACGCTGTTTACCTGGCTTATCATTTAGTTGAGCTCATTTAATAAAGTCAGCCATACAACGTGACATGAGTCCACTGCCCAGAGTTACCTTGAGAGGAAGAAAACTGCAGGCTGTTTATGGCACTTCTGATATCACCACTACATCCTTGACAGAGCGAATCTAAACAAGCTTTATCAGGGACAGAGATGTTCCTTCCATTCTAAAAGGAGAAAATCAAACGAAAACATTTAAAAAAAAAAAAAAAAACCTTACTTTCTAAGCTTAATAGGAAGAAATGAAATTCTTTTAAACTCGAAGGCATAAAGGCCTTCATTTTGAACACCAGTCTACCTAGAAAGTCTACAAGCCTCGATGACTTAGCTCCAAATCCAAAATATTCAATCTAAACAACACAAATCTGACAAATCCCCAGAGCAGAGCTTGGCACGCCGATACAGACTGGCTTTTCATTCCAGCTTTACGTATGTGCCGCCGAAGTGAGCAGACTGTTGATTTTCAAACAGCCCCAACTGAAGGCCGGCACTGTGGTGCTATAGGTTCAGCTAGGGCCTACACTGACGACACTCCATATGAGCACTGGTTCAAATCCTGGTTGCTCTCCTTTGGATCCAGCTCCCTGCTAATGTGCCAGGGAAAGCAGCAGAGGATGGCCCAAATGTCTGGCCCCTGCACCCACGTGGGTGACCCGGAGGCCAGAAGAGCCTGGGCTCCTGGCTTTAGGCAGGTCCAGGCCTAGCCATTTGGGAAGAGAACCAGGGAATGGAAGATCCTCTCTTTCTCTCCCTCTCTGTATCTCTGCTTTTATACCTTTCAAACAAATAAAAAGCAAAACAAAGAGAAAAACCACATTTATATCAAGTTACACTGAAAGCCCAAGTTCGGGGCTGGCACTGTGGGGCTAAGGGCAAAGCTGCCATCTGCGACCGTGGTACGCAATGTGAGCACGAGCTGTGGCCCGACTCCTTCACCCTGGACGCGGCTCTCCGGGGGCGGCCTGGGAGAGCAGCAGGGCACAGCCTATGGGCTGGCTTTCGTGTTCTCCACGAGGGAGAGCTGGATGCTGCGCTGCTGGGGCGGCTTCAGTCGGGCTCCCCTGCTGCTGAGGCCACGGCAGGAGCCAAGCAGCACAGCAAAGGCGTCTTTGTGGCGAGATCTCCATAGCAATACTTTCAAAAATAACTGCTCTTAGGGGAGACATTTTGGCTTAAGCAAGCACATTTTTGCTTGGGATGTCCTCAACCCCTATGAGAACGCCTGGGTTTGAGTCCCAGATATGCTCAGATATGCTCTCAATTCTAGCTGCTGTTTTTTTTTTTTTTTTTTTTTTATTGGAAAGACAGATCAGATTTAATGAGAGGAGAGAACAGAGAGAAAGATCTTCTATCTGCTGGTTCACTCCCCAAGTGACTGCAACAGCTGGAGCTGAGCCGATCTGAAGCCAGGAGCCAGGAATTTCTCCACACAGGTAGAGTCCTAAGCCTTGGGCCGTCCTCTCCTGCTTTCCCAGGCCACGAGCAGAGAGCTGGATGGGAAATGGAAAAGTCGGAACACAAACCGGCACCAATGTGCGACTGTGGTACTTGCGAAGTAAGGGTGTAGCCATTGAGCCATCCAGCTGGGGCCCCAATCCTACTTCTTGACGCACACCTGGGAGGCAACCAAAGAAGGCTCAGGTATTTAGGTCCTTGAGACAGTTGAACTGTTCTGAGTTCCCAGCCAAGACTGGGAAGGCCAAAGGCAGGAGCCTGGAACTTCACTTGGGTTTCCCATGCAAGTGACAAGGACTCAAATACTTGAGTGATCATTTGTTATCTCCAAATGTGTGTATCAGCAGAAGGCTGGAGTGCAGTGTGGAACCTGGATCTGTTCCCAAGCACTTCAATCTGGGATGTGGGAGTACCAAATGGTGGCTTAACCCACTGCGCCATAATGCCCACTCCAAGCTCAGGAATTTTTAAATCAATACTTCTTAAAATGACGTATCTCAGGAGTGAATTAACATTTTCTAATTGTAAACACCAAAACACTATGTCTCTAAATTGTATACCCTTACTAAAGATGGGATTTCTGGGAGCCAGCATGATGGCTCAACAGGCTAATCCTCTGCCTGCAAATGCTGCAAATGCTGGCATCCCATATTGGTGCCAGTTCATATGGCAGTGGATCCACTTCCCATCCAGTTCCCTGCTTGTGGCCTGGGAAAGCAGCTGAGGACGGCCCAGAGCCTTGGAACCGTGCATCCACGTGGGAGACCTGGAGGAGGCTCCTGGCTCTTGGCTTCAGATCAGCTCAGCTCTAGCTGTTGCAGCCATTTGGGGAGTTTACTAGTAGATGGAAGGTCTTTCTCTCTGTCTCCTTCTGTCTGGAAATCTGTCTTCCCAATACAAACAAATAAATCTTTAAAAAAATATAAAACAGATGGCTTCTCCATGACTGTGATATAAGATTCCAATCATTCCGAAGCTTACCTTACTAGCTTCTATTGTCACGATCCGGTTAAGGAACTTCATCATAATCGTTGGAGCCACAGGGTTAAAACTGTAAGGAAAGACGGTGGCTGAACAACTCATCTTAAAAGACCAGATGTCAACATGGTGAGTGGAGAATTCTTTCTCACCTGATATGCGAGATAGAACACTCCTCCTGAATTTGTTTGGGAAACAGCAGCCTGTGATTGCTGTCTCCGCTGGCGCTGTCGGAGACGATAAAGACCAGAGGACAGCGGCCGATCTGCACGTACTTCCTGCAACGGGAACACAGCAACGCTGGCATCCATGCCGCACAGCAATGCTGGCATCCACGCCGCACAGCAATGCTGGCATCCACGCCACACAGCAACGCTGGCATCCACATCGCACAGCAATGCTGGCATCCACATTGCACAGCAACGCTGGCATCCACGTCACACACCATTGCTGGCATCCACGCCGCACAGCAATGCTGGCATCCACGCCACACAGCAACGCTGGCATCCACATCGCACAGCAATGCTGGCATCCACGCCACACAGCAACACTGGCATCCACATCGCACAGCAATGCTGGCATCCACGCCACACAGCAATGCTGGCATCCACGCCGCACAGCAATGCTGGCATCCACGTCGCACAGCAATGCTGGCATCCACGTCACACACCATTGCTGGCATCCACGCCGCACAGCAATGCTGGCATCCACGCCGCACAGCAATGCTGGCATCCACGTCACACACCATTGCTGGCATCCACGCCGCACAGCAATGCTGGCATCCACGCCGCACAGCAACGCTGGCATCCACGTCGCGTGCCGGCCAATCGGACGCTCTAGAACACTGCAGAAACTTACCTGAGAACTTCATGTAGACTATGAGAATCTCGATAAAACTGGTTAGGCAAATCCTACAAAAAAATACAGAATGAATATAGTTGCTTCATTCCATTTCAAATTTATTTCCAGATTTAGATTTATCAAGACAGGAATCACGCCGGGCCCTCCTAGGCTTTTTCACACTTAAGTTATTATCCAGCTTTTATTCAGCTACTGAAAAAGACTTTAGATTTCTATTGCCTTTGTGTTGCATTTTACCAGTGTCACTGCTACGGAGCGTTCATGTTTTAAGACACATCTTGGGTCCGGTGCTGTAGCCTAGCCAGGATCTCATATGGGCACCAGTTCCAGTCCTGGTGGTGCCACTTCCCATCCAGGTCCCCGCTTGTGGCCTGGGAAAGCAGTCGAGGACGGCCCAAAGCCTTGGGACCCTGCACCCACGTGGGAGACCTGGAGAAAGTTCCTGGCTCCTGGCTTCAGATCGGCACAGCACCGGCCATTGCGGTCACATGGGGAGTGAACCATCAGAATGGAAGATCTTCCTCTCTGTCTCTCCTCCTCTCTGTATGTCTGACTTTGCAATAAAAGTAAATAAATCTTAAAAAAAAAAAAAAGACACGTCTCACAGTTCTTTATTCAAAAGCTACAGCCGGATGTGAGAAGCGGTCCTTACTTCCACCAGAATTATCTTCTTGTTAGTTCTCAAGTCATCCCCGAGCATCTGTAGTTTGTTGTACTTTGTCGCTCTCAGCAGAAACTCTTTGAAAACTGCCAACTGAGACTGATAGGCAAGCACAGGGAAGCTCGCTTCTGAAAAACCGAACACATGAAAAATAAAACACCGATCTTATTGTTTAACAAACCATATACATTACTTTTATACTAAAAAGGTACTACAAAAGCCTCACCAAAAATTAGAATGAAAAGACAAGCTTATTTCAGGGCAAACCAGTTTTCAAATCTGAAAAGAGTGTTTACATTACAACTCTTCCGCAATTTTGGAAGATCCCTTGTACATTTAACTGTATAAATTTCATTTTATTTTTGAATAAACTTACCTTTAAAATCTACTTTCTACAAATTTTGGAAGTACTCTCATGTTCAAACACATTTACAAGATACTTTGTGCGGGCCCGGCGCGGTGGCGCAAGTGGTTAAAGGTCCTCGCCTTGCACGCCCGGGATCCCATATGGGCGCCGGTTCTAATCCTTGCAGCCCCTCTTCCCTTCCAGCTCCCTGCCTGTGGCCCGGGAAGGCAGTCGAGGACGGCCCAAAGCTTTGGGACCCTGCACCCGCGTGGGAGACCCGGAAGACTCTCCTGGCTTCGGATCGGCATAGTATGGCCCGTTGCGCTCACTTGGGGAGTGAATCATCGGATGGAAGATCTTCCTCTCTGTCTCTCCTCTCTGTATATCCGCCTTTCCAATGAAAAAATAATAAAAATAAATTTAAAAAAAAAAAAAAAAAAGATACTTTGTGGGACCCAACGGCATGGCCTAGCGGCTAAAGTCCTCGCCTTGAATGCGCCAGAATCCCATATGGGCACCGGTTCTAATCCCGGCAGCTCCACTTCCCATCCAGCTCCCTGCCTGTGGCCTGGGAAAGCAGTCGAGAACGGCCCAAAGCCTTGGGACTCTGCACCCACATGGGAGACCTGGAGGAGGTTCCTGGCTCCTGGCTTCGAATCAGCACGGCACCGGCTGTTGCGGTCACTTGGGGAGTGAATCATCGGACAAAGATCTTTCTCACTGTCTCTTCTCCCTGTATATCTGCCTTTGCAATAAAAATAAAATAAATCTTTAAAAAAAAAAGTACTTTGTGGAGTAAATTCTTGTCAACTATATTTTTCCTCGTTTTTTAAAAAAGACTACTGGGGGAGCAATGCAGTGGCTCAGAAGGCTGAAGCCCTGCCTGCCAGCACTGGCAAGTCTGTTTGTGTGCCAGTTTGTGTTCCAGATGCTCCACTTCCCATCCAGCTCGCTGCCTAGGGGCTGGGAAAGCAACAGAGGGTGGCCCATGTCCTTAGAACCCTGCACCCGCGTGAGATACTTGGGAGAAGCTCCTGGCTCCTCCTCAGCTCAGCTACGGCCTCTGCAGCCATTTGGGGAGCAAAGCAGCGGATGGACCATCTTTCTCTCTGTCTCTATTTCTGTAAAATTCGTCTTTCAAATAAAAACAGCTCTTAAAAAAAAAAAAGACTATCTATTAGAAAGGCAGAGTTAGAAAGAGAGAGAGAGAGAAGCAGAGATTTTTCAGCCATTGGTTCCTCCTGAAGTGATCCTGAGAGCTGGCCCATCCAGTGCCCACAGATGGCAAGGGCCCGAAGAGGTCCAGAAGCAGCAAGCTGGACTGGAAGTGGAGCGGCAGGGGACCCTGCACGACGGCTCAACTGGCTAATCCTTTGCTTGTTAGCACCGGGACCCCACATGGCCACACAGAAGGTGCTCCTGGCTCTTGGCTTCAGACAGGCTCAGCTTCGGCCACTGCAGCCACTTGGGGAATGAGCCAGCAGATGGAAGATCTTTCTACCTGCCTCTCCTTCTCTCTGGAAATCTGCCTTTCCAATAAAAATAAATGAGTGTTAAAAAAAAGGTTGGGGGAGGGCAGAGCAGCAGGGACTTGAATAAGCACTCACTGCGGCTGCCTTATCCTGCTCTGTCACAATTCTGGCTCTTTCTATTTGCTAACGATGCAAAAAAAGTTATTCAAATTTGAAAATAGGACATTCGTTTCCAAAGACAAGAGTTAACAAGCACTGGAGTAATTTTTCTATACCAGTAAACTAGTAGTAACACAGGATTAACTGCTTTAGCACAGAACTGCCAAAAACATGTATCACTTCAGTCTACACAATGAAGTCTCTGAACCTGTAACCGAATTAGCTTCAGTAACAAAGGTTCAATGAAAGAATGACTGAGTAGTGACCTTGAGAATAAAGGAAGTAGATTGCCAACATTTAATGCCAATATCTAGAAAGCAACATAGTGGTCACTCTGACTGTGTGAAGGCAGAGTGTGTTGTGGACAGACTTGGTCTGGGCCACAGCATCCGTGGTTTGCGTACGAGATGGGGCTGAGGACAGAACTGACCCAGAAACTTCAACCACCAGTTTGTGCCTAGGCTGATGCAGGTGATGGACCGAGCTGGACCCCATATTAGCTGGCACACGGGAGTTAGGCCTGGGGTTAACTCTAGCGAGGTTTCTTTGGGGAACCCCCAACTGGACCACTGGACTTAAAAGTTCCCACCATAGGGAAGCTCACAGGACCTGTGATGACCACAGAGCGCACATGTCAGAACTGGGCATCCTTGGTTGCTGAAGCCTGTGCGGTGGACATCATGCCTGATGCACATGGGGGACATGACAACCAGTTGACTGGGGCCTAACAGGACATCTAGTACCATGGAGGACAGAACAGAATGGACAACGCTCTCGGCCGAGCTTTGACTCTGATACGGACCGGGTCAGCCAATGGACCTCGGAAGGATTTCCTCAACCCTGAAGCAACAAACTCGACAGCATCTCAGAACAGAACCACTTAGGCAGTACTGTCAGAGCATGCTCCACACTGGGGACCATGGCACAACACTGAGTGGCCGTCCCGCATCCCGGGGACTGCTACGGTTAGGCTGCTGGGAGTGGCCCGCTCCGCTTCTCTCCTCCCTTCCCCCAGACACGGGAAGAATAAAAAGGAAGACTGGAGACAGTTTTCTCATCCACACTTCCTCCATTTCTTGACTGTTCCCATCTGAATTTGTGGCTCACACGATTATACATGCTTCTCAACTATGTAAACATTATAGAAAATAAACCCATTAAATACAAAAAAAAAATTCTAAAAAAAAAGCAAGCAATACAAATTGAAGGAACAGCCTAAAGATATGGACTGGCTAGGGCATATTAAAGAAAAGCCCGGAGAAGGAGCTTCGAAGGCTCCACATGCAAATAACGCTGTGTTCCTACAGACCCTGCCTTAGCCAACCACTGGGTCAGAGAGAAACTAGAGGGACCCAGTGAGAGTGCAAAGAGGACAGTGCATGTTTACATGCAGGCAAAGCATCCTTGGGTGGATCCTGTCAGTGAGTTTTTTCCAAATATATATCTGTTGGGAAGTAAGAGTTTAACACATCTTGAGGCTTGACTTGTAATTAAATCAATCAAAGCTCTTTTTTTAAAAGGATTTATTTATTTTTATTGCAAAGGCAGATATACAGAGAGGTGGAGAGGCAGAGAGGAAGATCTTCCGGCCAATGATTCACTCCCCAAGTGACCACAACAGCCAGAGCTGCACCAACCCGAAGCCAGGAGCCAGGAACTTCCTCCTTTGGGTCTCCCACGTGGGTGCAGGGACCCAAGGCTTTGGGCCATCTTGACTGCCTTCCCAGGCCACAAGCAGGGAGCTGGATGGGAAGTGAAGCTGTTGGGATTAGAACCGGTGCCCATATGGGATTCTGGCGTGTTTAAGGTGAGGACTTTAGCCACTAGGCCACCATGCTGCGCCCTCAAAGCTCTTATTGACACTCCCTAACTGCCTACCCAGAACCTGCAACACAAATCCCACATAATGCAAACAGACCTTCCAATCCAACCTAACAGCTAAAAAGACCAAGTCTCCAGACTCAGCGCCGTGGCCTAACGGCTGATGTCCTTGCCATGCACATGCTGGGATCCAGATGGGCACCGACTCTAACCATGGCAGCCCTGCTTCCCATCCAGTTCCCTGCTCGTGGCCTGGAAAGCAGTGGAGGACGGCCCAAAGCCTTGGGACCCTGCACCTACCCGCATGGGGAACCCTGGGAGAGGCTCCTCACTCTGGTATGGCTCAGCTCTGGCCATTGCGGCTGCTTGGGGAGTGAACCATAGAATGGAAGATCTTCCTGTCTCTCCTCCTCTCTGTATATCTGACTTCCCAACAAAAACAAAATAAATGCATTGCCTCTGTCCTGGGCAAGCGCAGTTCTCTTCCTTTCTCTAAAGAAACCTCTCTCGGAAACTGGGAAGCAGAGGAGACAAACGCATTCCTGCCCCTGCAGCCCCCCCCAGCCCCGGTTATTGCTGCAGCCCCCCTGAGCCCCGGTTATTGCTGCAGCCCCCCTGAGCCCCGGTTATTGCCACTTCTACTACTTTTGCCAAAACCTTACCATGATTAAACATCTCTTTGAAATCATCTTTTTGGAAGTCTGGTAAAACTGGATTAATCCACTCTTGCACGTGAATACCATGCTCCTTTGACAGGACTTTCAGAGTAGTTGTCTTCCCACAGCCAGGAGGCCCTGTTACTAATAAGACAGATCCACCCTAAAACCAAACACAGTCATTAACATTCAGGATCACTGCAATGCTATGCTGTTTCTGCATTTCTTCCTACATCTTACTTCCAAACTATTTTAATAAAAATCTAGTACATTAAATTCATCACGCATGCCAGCTAGAATAAATCTGTTTGAGACAAAGCATAGTATCTGATTCTGAGCTTGTCCGCAATGCTGGTCTGACGTTCCTTCCACTGAATAGTTGCCTAGACCGAGGAAGTGATGCTTGAAAGAAAAATGTTAGAGACTTCCCTGTACTCACCAAGTTCAACCTTAATACAGATCTCCCGCTGAATACAACCTCACAAGAAAAGCATTGTTATGGGAAGACTTCAGTTTGGATAAGAGATTCTTAAAAAATAAATAAACGAATAAATAAAGGCTACAGAGTTTCAGAGGAATTGCTTACTGATATATTTTCTCGAATTAGAGAAGGTAAAACCTCTGCCTGTTTGGAATCCGAACAAAGCCATTTTAATTTTTTTAAGATTTATTTATGTTTATTGGAAAGTCAGATATACAGAGAGAGACAGAGAGGAAGATCTTCTGGCCAATGATTCACTGCCCAGGTGCTGCAATGTCTGGAGCTAAACTGATCTGAAGCCAGGAGCCAGGAGGTTCTCCTAAATCTCCTGTGAGGATGCAGGGTCCCATGGCCTTGGGTCGTCCTCGACTGCTTTCCCAGGCCACAGGCAGGGAGCTGGATGGGAAGTGGAGCAGCTCGGATTAGAACTGGCACCCATTTGGGATCCCGGCATGTCCAAGGCGAGAACTCTAGCTGCTAGGCTATTGTGCTGGGTCCATTCAGTTCAATTTTTAAAAAATATTTATCTTTACTTGAAAGAGTTACGTGGGGCCAGTATGGTGGAACAGCACGCTCGCTCACTCTGTGGTGCCTTCGCCCTACACGGGCACTGAGCTGTGTCCTGATTACTCCACTTCCCATCCAGCCCTCTGCTTGTGACCTGGGAACTATGGAGGATGGCCAAGGCTTTGGGAGCCTACTCCTGTGCAGGGACCCAGGGAAGCTCCTAGTCCCCATGTGGATCAGCTCAGCTCTGGGCATTTGGAGAGTGAAATGGGAAGTTATTCTCTAGCTCTTCCTTCTCTGGAAAAATCTACGATTCAAATGAAAATTAACTATTTTTTTTTTAAAAGTTAGAGAGAAGCAAATACAGAGGGAAAGTTGTCTTGTTTTTTTTTTTTTTTTTGATTGTTTTCAAACTATATTTCTGTCTTCTAATGACCAGAGAGATTTTACACCTGCTGGTTCATTCCCTAAATGGCCACAACAGCCAAAGCTTAGCTGATCTGAAGCCAGCAGTTAGGAGTTTTCTGGGGGTCTCTTGCCTGGGACCCTCTGCTGCTTTACCAAGCCCTTAGCAGAGGGCTGGATTGGAAGTGGAGCAGCTGGGACTAGAAGCGGTATTCACATGGGATGCTGGTGCTTGTTATACCACTGCAGCAACCCCAAGCAGCTCTCTTTTTTTAATGGTCGTTTATGTATTATAGCACTATTGCCCATGGGTTTCGTGCTTGCAAATCAATAACATATACTGATGACTGTGCCTGTAAAGAGAAATTCACAGACCAAGGCTATGGGGCTGGCACTGAGGAACAGTGGGTTAAGCTGCTTTCAGTTCCAAATGCACCAATCCAGATCCAGCTTCTTGCCAACGTGCCTAAGCAGGCAGCAGCAGATGGCCAAGTATTTGGGATCTGCCTCTCCTATGACAAAGTAGGAGTGCCTAGCTCCTGGGTTCAGGTTGGCACAATCTTGGCTACTGTGGCCATTTCGGGAGGGAATCTGTGTAGGAAAAATTTCTTTCTCATTTTACCTTTCAAACTGACAAATAAATCCATAACATACATAGAGAAGGGGTCAACATTGTTGTCTGCAGTGTCAGCCTTCCATGCAGGCTCTACTTCCAATCCAGCTTCCTGCTAATGGGCTGGGCAGAGCAGCAGCAGATGGCCCAAATGCTTAGGCTCTGCTACTCCACACGGGAGACCAGGATGAAGCCCCTGACTCCTGGCTTCAGCACAGCTCAGTGCTGGCCTCTGCAACCATCTGGGGAGTGAACCAACACATGGAAGACTTCTTTCTCTCTCTCTCCCCACCTACACTGTAATTCATTCAAATACATATATAAGTATTCAAAAGCAAAAAAGTAAAACAGGGTTATGTATTTATCAGTTGACAAGAATGTGACTTGATGCTGGCAAAATTCAAGTATAAATTTCTTTTTAGGAACAATGCCTTAGTGTGTGCTAATTCAGCAACTTCAAACTTACAAAAAGATAATTTTTTAAAAGGAAGCCCATTCATGGGAGCTGGGCACTATTCTCATGTAAGGATTAAGTGTCTGCTTTCTGACACAGTGTATACAGCCACACAGAAAAGCCTCCAGTAAGAGAGCTAGAAGATAATCTAATCAGAACAAAACACAAAACTTCTGTTAATCTCCCCATTGTCTACACTGTGTAATACATTTATCACACTGTCTTAAAGAAGTTGCCTTGAGAATTCAAACTTAGCAAATATTTGACCTATTTGCAAACAAGAAAAAAATTTTTTCAGGGCCCAGTGCAGTGGCCTAGGGCTAAAGTCCTTGCCTTGAACACGCCAGGATCCCATATGGGCGCTGGTGCTAGTTCAGGCGGCCCCACTTTCCATGCTTCTCCCTGCTTGTGGCCTGGGAAAGCAGTCGAGATGGCCCAAGGCCTTGGGACCCTGCACCCATGTGGGAGACCTGGAAGAGCTCCTGGCTCCTGGCTTCAGATCAGTGCAGCAAAGGCTTTATGGCCATTTAGGGAATGAGATAGCAGGTGCAAAGTTGGAAGATCTTTTTGTTTCTCCTTTTTCCTATAAATTTGATCTGTGTTTCCAATAAAAAAATAAAATAAAATAGGGTCCAGCACAGTAATCTAGCAGCTAAAGTCCTTTCCATGCATCTGCATGGATCCCATATGGGCACCAGTTCATGTTCCCGTGGCCCCACTTCTCATCCAGCTCCCTTTGCGTGGCCTGGGAAAGCAGTCGAGGACGGCCCAAGGCCTTGGAACCCTGCACCTGTGTGGGAGACCTGGAAGAGGTACTGAACTCCTGGCTTCACATCAGCTCAGTTCTGGCCATTCTGGCCTCTTGGAAAGTAAAGCATCAGATGGAAGAGCTTTCTGTCTCTCCTCCTCTCTGTAAATCTGACTTTCCAATAAAAACATAAAATAAATTGTAAATAATGCCTTTTTTTAAATTAGAAAAAGGAGCTGGGCAGTTGCTTAACCTACCAGTTAAGACACTCAAATGCCAGGGCCTGGTGTTGCAGCTTAGTGCGTTATAAGGTAGCCCCGTGCCAAGCTGCCTGGGAAAGCAGTGGAGGCCCCAGTGCTTGGGGCCTCAAAGAAGCTGCCGGCTCTTGGCTTCAGCTTGGCCCTACCCAGGATGTTATGACCATTTTGACAATGAACCAGCAGATCAAAGAGCTCTCTCTCTTTTATTTTCAAATAAATAAAACCTTAAAAAAAAAAAAAAGATAAGTTCTACATTAGAGTATCTATATTTGATTTGAAGCTGGTAACTACAAACTCAGGGAGTAAGCCGTGATGGCTCAAGTTTAACTGGTATCGGCTATCCAAGTGGGTGCCCGGGGTTAAACTCCAAGTTCCCCTTCAGCCCCATCCCAGTGCCACCCGTTATGGGCATCTGGGAAGTGAATCAGCAAAGGGAAGCTCTCTCAAATAAAGAACACTAAATATCAACAGCCTGAAATGCCCTGAAGCTAATAATTTACGTTAAGTCACTTGTGGGGTTGTTAAAGAGACACACAGGCAGTTCCTGGCCAAGGCGCCCAGGAAGGCAGTTCCTGCTGACCCAGACTTCCTGGCTATGGCTGGCGCAGCCCCGACAGCGTCTCACTGGACACCCAGGCCCCTCCACCCCAGCAGACGGGGTCAAATCGCTTCCTCTTCCTCACTCTGTGTCCCTGCCTTTCAAATACACGAATCCTAAAAGAAAACAAACAAACAAACAAACAAAAACCTATATATGATGAATACATGAGTACTTTCACTAGTTTATTTACCTTGGTCAAAATATTTCAAACAGAAATTAAGAAGATAGATTGCAAGGAGGAAATAGTCCACTTTGGGGGCTGAAGGTAACTCGAATTGGGAAGTGAAACCAAGAAACACCAGGTTGAGACCACGCTGGCTGTTTTCAACTATATTTAGCGCAAAAACTACTGTGTGTTTTGTGGTGTTGGAGGTGTTCATTAGATGACAACCCTAACTAGTTACTGATCCTTCTGCTGACCAGAGGAGCCGGGCAGGAGAAAGAGGCACATTTACAGGGGAATTTCAAAGTGACCAGCAGGCAGGTCCGGGAGCGCTCCACCCCAGCCCATCTGGACGCATCTGACCAAAACCATCCCGGAGGTTCAGAGAGACAGCTGGCGTCCCACGTTTCTAAACACGCTTATTTAATTACCTGTTTTTGTTGTCTTTCCAAAACTTGAGCCTTTAACCAGGCTTCAACTTCTTCAATTTTCTTCTTATGCACAGCAAGTTCATGCTAAAACGGAAATGCGAAGTTGAAACTTTTCAACTCAAGGATTTTTGGCATATCAGCACTTATTAAACCAAACATTTTAAACAAAAAAAATCATCAAACTAGTAGCATGTCGTATTGTAATAATGCAGGACCTTTCGATCACACTTGAATTTTTATATTATTATGGAAAAAAAAATGTATTTTGAGCTGACACCACTGTAATCTTGGGCAAGTTTACAATTTTTTTCTCTAATCTAGAAACACATTTGGGGAAGGGCATAGGGAGGAATATGACATTTCATAAAAAAATAGAGATCATTTTTTGGTTGGGGTTAAGTTCATCCTAAGATAAATAACCAACGGTTCAACTTCAGAATAACTGTTAGGAAAATCTGGAACTTAGAACGCAAACACATATAACCGAGGAAGAACTATTCCACTCCAGTTCATTATGCATTAACAATGCTGAGTGAAAAAAAAAAACAATGTGAGACTTTACACCTCTTTCTTCCCACCCGCTCTCATCCTCCTTGAAATAAAATTACAGTGCTGCTTGCTGTTACTCAGTACCTGAGTTTCTGGTTGGTATCTGTCCACCCATGAGTCATCTTCACAGAGGTGCTGTTTGGAATTTTCTAGACTGTAAATCGATTCTGTGGCAGCCTGCTTCCCTCTTTTTCTAGCTGGAAGTCTGCTACTTTCTAATGTGGAAGGCACATGTTTTCTTCTCTGGGTCGAGTTATTCACACCTAAGGATGCGGCGCTAACAGCAGAGATGCCTACATGCTCTGTAAAGTCATCAAACGACGGGTCCACCCAGTCTGTCACCTGAAAAAAAGGTCACACCAACATCGTTACATCTGATGCACCCATTCTCTACACAACTGAACTGCTCACGAAGCAAAATACGCATCATATGTATGGTATTTAAAAAGAAAAACCTCAGAAATTAATTCTTTAAATAGAATTGTCTCGTTATATGTTAGTTCCGTCCCACTTCACAGTAACTGCAACCACATACTTGTCCGCTAAGCAGCTTAACGATGAATACCACATGCACAACATAAGCTGTATTGTTTTTATTAATTGTAATTTTCCCAAGGTAACAGGCAGCACAGGAAATGCTGCCAGCAACGTTAGCGTCACATACGGGCACTGGTTCAAGTCCTGGCTGCTCCGCTTCCCATCCAGCTCCCTGCCACAGCATCTGGGAGAGCAATGCAAGGTGGCCCAAACGCTTCGGACCCTGTGCCCATGTGGGAGACTGGATGTAGGATCCTGCCGGGCCCAGCCCTGGCTTTTGTGGCCATTTAGGGAGTGAATCGGTGGATGGAAGATCTCTCCTTCTATAACTCGACTTTCAGACAAATAAAATGTATAAAAAGGAGACAGAGAGAAGCACAGTTCTTAAAAACACTCTGGGGGAGCTGGTGTTGTGAGAAGGAGTTAAGCTACTATCTGTGGCAGCAACTTCCCGTGTGCGCACAGGTTTGAGACCAGCTGCTCCACTTCCGGTCCGGCTGCCTGCTGACATGCTGGGACAGACTGGAGGGGTGTCCGAGTGCTTGGCTGCCCGCACCCACATGGGAGACCCAGACAGATGGAGTTTCTGGTTTCTAGGTTTGGCCTGGCCACAGCACCAGGAGGCAGGGCCTGTGGCTGAGCTGTATCGCCAACTACCATTTAGACAGCTCTTTCCTCTATGTTGAGCTTTCAGCCTTTTGTTTCTTTTTTTTTTTTTAAGATTTATTTATTTTTATTGGAAAATCAGATATACAGAGAGGAGGAGAGATTGAGAGGAAGATCTTCCATCTGATGATTCACCCCCCAAGTGACCACAATGGCCAGAGCCGAGCCAATCCGAAGCCAGGAGCCAGGAGCTCCTCGGTGTCTCCTACATGGCTGCAGGGTCCCAAGGCTTTGTGCCATCCTCGACTGCTTTCCCAGGCCACAAGCAGGGAGTTGGATGGGAAGCAGGGTCGCTGGGATTAGAACCAGCAATCAAAAGGAGTCCCGGGCATGTAAGGTGAGGACTTTAACTGCTACGCTATCGTGCCAGGCCCGAGTTTTCAGCCTGTTCTTGGTCAATGGGCTTTTCTAGATGCTCTTTCAAAATAAAACTGTGCTTTGGTGTTGTTTCACAACTCCCATTAGCCTTGTTTACATTACTAATTACAACAGTTCTGAATACCACAGTTGGAGAGTGGAAGCTAAGTCACTAGGAGCATATGAGAAGGGGCTGACACCAGATACAGCAAGTTAAGCCCCCGCCTACAGCGCCAGCATTCCATATGGGACCCGGCTGGTCCACTTCCAATCCAGCTCCCTTCTAAGGCACCTGGGGAAGCAGCGGAAGGCGCTACATCCTTGGGCCCTGATACCCAGGAGGAAGCCCACAGCTCCTGGCTTCAGTCTGATTCAGCTCCAGCCGCGACAGCCATCTGGGGAGCAAATCATTCCGCACCAACCCCCCCAACTGCTATGGAACTTTGCTTTTCAAATAGGTAAATGAATCATTACCCAAAATAGTCAATATTCACAAAAAATGACCGACAGATGTGCAGACATGCGGTTTAATTAGGTAATGACCCCATGGGCATCTTAGTGCATCATACCTTTGTGGAAGATACCTTTGTTCGAAGCAGAGTGTCTGACATTATAAACCTTAATAGTTCCCATCCATAGTACACAGCCTGTAGTCCAATAAAGTATATTTCACCTAAGGAAAACAAGAAAACACTTCAAATCAAGAAAGACTATAAATACAATATTACAGTAATCATTCTATATTGATATAATCAATAACAAAAGGCTCAAGAACTAGCAAAGCAAAACACGGTATGTAGCAAAATTAGAACGCTAATGTAAGTATAAAGTAATCTACTTGTGGTGTCATCATGGAAAGTTTTCCATATGAATACAACCATGTTTAGAAAAAAACCAGAAAAATAATATATTTGATGCTGACCTCTTTTCAAAACGAAAAAGTAGAGAATTCTATTCTAGCTTTTATGCCCCCGAAGTATTTCATACAACAAATTAGCTGGTTTCCAAAATTTCAAAAAAAAGCAGAATACAATGAATTGGATGAGTCATTTCCTTTAGATAAAAGAAAAACCTGAAATCTCACTGAAAAATGTTCTAAAACTGTATTTGAACTTGCTACTAGGCAGGATCTTGGCAACTCCGCTTTTCAGTTTTCGTAATTTATCATTCCTTAAGCAAAGTGGCGAGTTCACCCATGTTACATTAGCCAAAAGTAAAGGCTTGAGGCCAATCGACCTGTACGCTGGAAGGTGTAGTCGACTTACGGGGGGCACAAGCTCCAAGGACCCCCCCACCCTATAAGTTATTCATCTCTGCCCCCGCCCCCAACATCGTTTGCCATTAGGTAAGTTTCAGAAACACACACTGTTGCAAAAACAACAACGAAAACATTCAATGCAAGCCGACGGGTGGAAATAAGGACCTGTGGTAGGGACTCTAATCGCTCTATGGAAAAAAAGAGAGGCCGACAGTGACATCCTCTGATTAGCGGGGACCTGTCCCTGAGGCGACACGTCACGGGGAGAAGACACTACCGGGGACGGACTCCTGGCGCAGCCCGCTGCCCTGCACGCTGCACAGGCGGGGCTCAGCTCGGACACTGGCCCGGACTCGCCCTGCAGTGAGCCGGGAGCGGGGTGCGGGCCAGGACCCCGCGATCGCGTCCTCCCCATCGCACTGGGTCCAGGACACCCACGTCACACACACCCTCAGCGCGACGGCCTTACTTTGCGGGAGCTGCATCCCCTCGCGGACGGGGAAGAGCGAAGCAGCGCGGGGCCGGCCCCTCGCGGGCGGGGAAGCCAAGCCAACCCGACCCTCCCTGGGCTCCCGCCTCCCGGGGGACCTTCCAGAACGCTCGGCGCATCCGTGACGCAGGCTGAGGGGGCGGGACAGGCCCCGAAGGACTTAGGCAGCCGGCGCACTGCCTGCCTCAGGCCGCGGAGCCGAGTGGCCGATGCGCCTCGGACGCTGCCTCCGAAGCGTGTTCTAGAACACCAGGTGACCGGTGGGCGGCGAGTGGACGGCGGAGGTGGCTTGGGGACGGGCGCCCGGGCGCGGACTTGGGTTCCTCAGGCCCCGCCGGCGCCAGCCGCCGCCCGCGCTCCGCCCCTTCCGGCTCCTCCTGGCGGTGCGTGAGCCGCGCGCGTGCCGAGAGGAGGTGCTCGGAGGCTCCGCCGGGAGGACTATGTTGCGGCCGAACATTCTGCTCACCGGTCAGGACGCGCGACGGGTAGAGGGGCCCGTTGGAGGGGCCGGGCGGGGGGCCTTGAGGGCGGCTCGGAGAGGCCGGGGGTCGGCGGCTTCTAGAAGCCGGGCTGCGGGATCGGGCGCTCGGGACCGGCGAGCGGGCTCCGTCGTTTGTGTTTTGCCGGTGGAGGTAGGCTGTGGCGTCTTGGGGAGGGTCGATGCCGAGGTCTCTCCTTGAAGAGACGAGCGCGTGCAGGCTCTTCTCGCCCTCGACCGTCGAGGGACGCTTGCGGCCGAGCAAGGCCGCCCGGCTCGGGGTGCGGGTGCATGGGTTTGGGGTGAGGGGTTGTGGCGGAGGCGTGTGGGGCCTCCCTTTGGAGAAAGGAGCTCTGGTGAGGGGCTGGACGGCGCGGCGTGGCCGGGGCCGCTCGTGGGCTCGCTCGCTTCCGGGGGACAGCGATCCATCGGGCTGCAGGTGCGGGGCAGTTAGGATGAAAACAGACGCTCGTTGGCGGAGACCTCTCATGGGTTGTATTTGTTACCACCACGCACCGAAAGACTGTGAACAGCTCGAAGAAATTAGATATTTTGGGTGGAAAAGAGAGGGACAGAGGTGTGTCATCTGGTGGCCAGGGTCTCCCCTGTGCTGGCTCGGATCTGAGCCCCTGGCCATCTTCTGTTCTCTTGGGGCCGTTAGCAGGGAGTGTTAAAAGTCCGGGCTAAAGCCCCCAGGACGTCAGGGTGCGAGCTAGTCAGCCCCCAAAGAACGGCAGAGAGTCTCACTGGTAATGCAAACAGCAAACAGTTTATTGCGCTAGCATGCTGGGGTCAGACGGCACTTGGGGCACGCAGGCCAGCCAAGCAGGGCGATCAGACCCTGAACAGCCCCAGACAGAAGCTTATATAGGCCCTTTGGGGCTGGGAACTACATCAGAAGTAACAACCTTAGACATGTTCGTTTTTATGGCCTTCAGGCACAGGCAGCCTGTTCTGTTCTCATACCCATTATCTATGGCTCATCCCATTCTCACGCCCTTATCTTCCTCCTGTTCCTGGGACCAGAGAAGAATTGCGCCCTTGCCCCCCTGCACCTGAGTTCACAAAGTTGCAGGACAGCAAAGAACGGATTTATCACTAAAGCGGAATCCTCCCAAGCTCCAGGCGCCTCCTGGCCTAGCAAAGTAGCAGTTTTCTCTACACAAAGGAACCTCATCACACTGGCCAACAATAGCGTTTTACCCACACTCTTACAGGAGCTGGGTCGGGCTGCAAGCCTGTCAGGCAGCTCCCTGCTGCATAGTTCCTTCAAGTGTTTTGTTTTTTATTTTTGTTTTTTGTTTTTTTATCATTTAATGAGACTTAACCTTGTGGGTGGCTCACAAATCCTGCCTCAGGGAGCTACACGTGAGCTCCTGTGAGATTCCTTATCAGGCAGGTTTTACAGCATCTGATTGGCTGTGAAACAGCCCAGGGGTCCAGAGCTGGTGGAATGTAGTCAAATACTCTCCTGCAAGTGGAGGTTTCATTCATACCTGTTACAGTGCTCAGATTTAATCCTTTTACTGCCGTTAAAGCTGAGCATCTGAGAACCATGAGTTTGTCTTGCGGTAGAAGTGTTCTAGATGTGAAAGGGGGGAGGGAAAAGGCAGGTCCCTGAGCATGCGCATTGGCACACAGCACGCTTCTCTAGAAAGCCAGTATGCAATGGGCTTGTTAGAAAGGTAGGCCAGAAACTGGTTTATGGTGGCTCCCAGCCCAAGGCTTGTTATGCAAACAATTTCTATATGTTTTTCAATGAAAGCGCATAATGACAGTGGTTTACTTGAGACTTGAGGCTTATTCTGGGCAGTCCTGGGTTGGTGACAGCAGGCAGGATGTGTATCCCGCCCTGGGAGACACGCGGTGACTCTCAGGTTAGCTTGGGAAAGCGTTTTTAATTTGGGAGAGCAGTCAGGCATGTTCTCATCCACTTGTTAGAGAAGCTTCTGTGTGGGTTGTTGCAAAATTCTCAGGGCACAGGAGTTGAAGTGTGAGAATTAACGTTTCATGGGCATCTCTCTGGTTTGTCTTACAGGTACGCCAGGGGTTGGGAAAACTACGCTAGGCAAAGAACTTGCCTCGAGGTCAGGACTGAAATACGTTAATGTGGGTGACTTAGCTCGAGAAGGTAAGAGGCCCTTCAGTGTGGGGTTGGCCCTTCTGTTTGTGTTGTATCTGGCAAGTGTGGCCACTGGGGCTGTTAGGTGTTACCCGAGGGCACAGAGGCAAAGACAGGCTGCCAGTGTGGCATCTGTGCTCCATCCGGGCCCTTGGAAAAGGAAACAGCAAGTGTCCTGTACCATGTCCTGGTTGTCTGGATTATTTCTAGCTCCCAAAGTAGCTAGCAGTTCTTGTGTGAGGATTGTAATGGGGAAGGTTTCCAGGAAGAGATTGGACTTGGGGTCGGCGTGAGGCGGAGGGGAGGGTACTCTAGTTGGGTAGGCACTGGGTGTGTGTGGTGCCCCCCACATAAGGAGGACAGGGAGTGTGTGCCAACCCTGGGAACACAGCCTTTGCAGTGGAATAGGACTCTCACAGTATTGAGTTGGTTGGATGGTTGCATGCCAGCGCACAGCTGCATATATTTCAAAGTAGTATGGTTTTAATTCTTTTTTACTATGTTTTCCCCTAGTTTTTTTTTTCCTTTATTTTTTTCTCTTTTTTTTTAAGTAAATCCTATACTTGCATCATCATCTTTTTATACTCTACAATGATTTTTAACAGGATAGGAATTTAGTACATTTAAGTAATGGGAACTTGAAATATGTTTTGTTAAAATTATTTAACATGATTTAAAATTTTAAAAAAGAATTTTTTTTTTGCAAGAATGTAACACATTTTAAAAATGAAAGTTCCTAGACGTTGCTACTGCTGAAGTATTTCAGTTTGATCTAATCCACATATTTTTTTCGAATGATCCAAAGTCTGATCAGCAGATATCATGGAGTCTGGCAAGATGGCTTCTCCCAAGAGCATGCCGAAAGACGCACAGATGATGGCGCAGATCCTGAAGGATATGGGCATCACAGAATATGAGCCGAGAGTGATAAATCAGATGTTGGAATTTGCCTTCCGATATGTGACCACAATTCTAGATGATGCAAAAATTTACTCAAGCCATGCTAAGAAAGCTACCGTTGACGCAGACGACGTGCGCCTGGCCATCCAGTGCCGCGCGGACCAGTCTTTCACCTCTCCTCCTCCGAGAGATTTTTTGTTAGATATCGCAAGGCAGAGAAATCAAACCCCTCTGCCACTGATCAAACCGTATTCGGGCCCTAGATTGCCACCCGATCGATACTGCTTAACAGCTCCCAACTACAGGCTTAAGTCTTTACAGAAAAAGCCATCCACTTCTGCAGGAAGAATAACAGTGCCCCGGCTCAGTGTCGGGTCGGTCGCCAGCCGACCAAATACGCCCACATTAGGCACGTCGGCTCCGCAGACCATGTCTGTCCCAACTAAAGTGGCTGCTCCGATGTCCCTCACGGGCCAGAGGTTTACCGTGCAGATGCCAGCCTCACAGCCACCTGCTGTGAAGGCATCGCTGCCTGCCACCTCCACGGTTCAGAATGTGCTCATTAACCCCTCGCTGATTGGGTCCAAAAACATTCTGATTACCACCAACATGGTGTCATCCCAAAATACTGCCAATGAGTCGAGTACATTGAAAAGGAAGCGTGAAGATGATGATGATGATGACGATGATGAGGATGATGACTATGACAATTTGTAAGCTCGATGCATGTAACATGTACCCTTGGTCTTGAACCCATTGTACTGCAATTAAACAAGTATGTTCTATGTTTTCAAGCTGTGTTTGAGAAAACTTGTATAGTATTTAATAAGTGTGGTTTTTCAGTTGGACTGTTGAATGTTCTTTAGCAAGATTAATGATGGTTTTTCATAGCTTTCCAGTGTAAAAAAAAAAATAAAGTTGTTTAGCTGTTTGATTATTTACTGTGCAATTATATTTTATAGTTTTTGCGCATTAACAGGAGTAATAGGTGCAGCAACTTCAGGCTATTTTAATCCATTACTGTTGCTGCGTCTCCTCTGGTACCCTTAGATGGTTAGAGCATACGGCGAGCTCTGGTGTAGCAGTCTCTCTTAGCGTGTGTTCTCTCAGATTGTTGAGTTACAACTGACTCGCCAAGGCAAGGTTTTCTCAGAGTGAATCCTCTACTTGGATTTATTTTTCTCAATTCCTCAACTTCTTTTTAATAGATTATTTTTTTCTTAAAGATTTATTTATTTACTGTTTACTTACTTATTTAAAAGCAGAGTTTGAGATCCTCAGTGTGCTGTTTTACTGCCTACATGGCCTCATCGGCCTGGATCCAGGCTGAAGCTAGGAGCCTGGAGCCTCATCAGGGTCTCCCATGGCGGTGTCAAGGCCCCATATTTGGGCTCTTACTGCCTTTGCAGGTCCATTAGCAGGCAGTGGTCAGACGTGTAGCAGTAGGGATTCAAACATGCAACCATTTGGGACTGAGACCCCTACGCCCCACCTTTAGGTACCGTGTTTATATCTCGTTGGTTATATTTAAGCATCCTTGGCATTTAGGATTATTTTTAGTGCAAAGTCATATATAGAGAGAGGAGGAGAGACAGGAAGATCTTGCGTCCAATCAGTCGCTCCCCAAGTGACCCCAATGTCCGGAGCCACACTGATCTGAAACCAGGAGCCTCTTCCACGTCTCCAGCACAGGTGCAGGGTCCCAAGGCTTTGGGCCGTCCTCAACTGCTTTCCCAGGCCACAGGCAGGGAGCTGGATGGGAAGTGGAGTAGCCTATATTAGAACCAGCGCCCATATGCCCATATGGGATCCTGATGCGGTCAAGGCGAGGACTTTAGTCACTAGGCCACCCGCGTCAGGCCCTCAGCTCAGATCTTTAAAAGTGTTCCATTTGAAAGGTACAAAGAGACAGATCTTCCATCTGCTGGTTTGCCCTGTTGCACCCTGGGCTGGGCCAGGCCAAAACCTGGAGTTAGGAACTCCATTTAGGTTTCCCATTTGGGTAGCAGGGACCCAAGTATGCCTGCTGCGGGGCATCAGGAAAGGAGCCGGGTGGGAGGCCGGAGTGGGCTCGATGCCAGGTGCTCTGGTCAGGGGATATGGACATCCCCAGTTGCAGCTGGGCCTGCTAAGCCGCATCTGGGCCAGGCCGAAACCAGGAGCTTCATCTGAGTCTTCCGCGTGGGCACTGGGACCCATGTTTTTGGGCCACCCTCTGCTGCTGTCCCAAGCACTTTCAGCAGGGAGCTGGATCGCAAGCAAAGCAGCAGGGACTGATATTGGTGTCTGTTTTGAAACTGTTGGCGTTGCAGGCGGCAACTTAACATACAGTTCTGTCTCAGGCATGAATAATTGTGCTCAGTTTTGGCTATGTTGAAGTCCCAGCAACTCAGTTGGACATTTCTGAATTTAATGACATATGTACAGAATCTCAGGGTGTATGCGTTCAGGGGAACGGTCTTGCCAAACCAAGGGTGGTAATGTCAGGTTTCTGCGCTGCCTGTAGTCCTGTCCTGTTAGGTGACTGTCCCAGCCCTCCAGGGATGTTGTTTGGTACAACCTAAGCCTTAAGGGAGAGCAGTTTCCTTTCCCTGGTGCCAGACGAGGGGTTGCTGGAATGACCTAACTTGGAGGTGCAGAGTGGTTTCCGGGATGCAATTTGAGCACAGACGCATCCTGTCGCATCTGCCACCTTTCCCACCTAAGTGGCATTGTATTTTTAGAAAAACAGGCTGTCATGTATAAAGCAGTGGCTTGTCAGTGGGTGGGTTTTTACCCCTCAGGAGACATTGTCGCAACTGGGAGAAGGGACTTGGGGAGGGGTGAGGCTTGCTGTTGACAGTTAGTGAATGCCAGGGATTATGCCAGCAGCCTGTAAGGCCACTCCCCTTTCTACTTCCCAGCATTGAGATTGAGAAATCCTATATCCACCTGGCTTTAAACCTTTCTGAATGGGACTTATTGTGAGAGCAGCCATGATCCTTCTAAGAGGTCATCCTTAATCCAGTTGCAGCCAAGACAGAATTACACTGAGAAATAATCTTAGGGGACTGCTATGAGCCAGAAGGTGGCGTACCTGGAAGGGTGCTTTCCTTTCATGGTCTCAAGAGTTCTCAATTGATGCTGTTTTCCAGAGGCAAACATTCAGTTTCGGTAGCATCTTTAACTTTCCTGACACCATTTTGTCAAGGTTGTTTTTTTTTTCCCCCCAAGATTTATTTGTTTGAAAGACAGAGTTCTGGAGAGAAACACTGAGAAATTGCATTTGCTGTTTTTCTCTTTTTTTAAAGATGTGTTCGAAAAGTAGGTTTTACAGAGGAGAGTCGGAAATCTTCCATGTGCCGGTTCATTCCCCAATTGGCCACAACAGCTAGAGCTGAGCTGATCCAAAGCTGGGAACCAGGAGCTTCTTCTGGGTCTCTCACATTGCTGCAGGGGCCCAAGGACCTGCCGCTTTCCCAGGCCACTAGCAGAGAGCTCGATTGGAAGTGGAGCAGCCGGGACATGAACTAGTGCCCATGCTTCATGCCGACGCTGCCGGCAGAGGATTAGCAGGGTACAGTGCCACACCAGTCAGATGGTCAGAACTTGGCCAACTTGCTATGGGCAGAACTTGGCCAATCCTATGCCAGGAGCCAGGTGTTTCTTCTGGGTCTTCCACGTGGGTTCAGAGTGCAAGGACAAGAGACCTTCTGCCACCTTTCACGGTCACAGAAGCAAGGGAGTGGGGCATGAGCAGAGATGACCCTGTGTCCACATGGGATGCCAGCACTGGAGGTGAGGGCTTTTCCCAAAAGCCAGCAACACCACAGCACCATTTTACCATCTTGAGCCTGTTCCTACTCCAGTATTCCCAAAGATCCAGGTGAAAAAATTCCCGGGGAAATAGTGGGTGCATTGCAGGTAGAGATCTTTTTTTTTTTTAAAGATTTATTTTTATTATTTTTTATTGGAAAGGCGGATATACAGAGAGGAAGATCTTCTGTCCAATGATTCACTCCCCAAGTGAGCGCAACGGCCGATGCTATGCCGGTCCGTAGCCAGGAGCCTCTTCCGGGTCTCCCACATGGGTGCAGGGTCCCAAAGCCTTGGGCCGTCCTCGACTGCTT